TGGGTGTTGCAAGGTGACAGCACGCCCATCCTAACCCGGCGAGGCACCCGACCAGGTTCCTCTTTTGCAGACCTGGTGTTCGCTCTTCTGCTTCCAAAGATTCAACGCCTACGTGACAGCCTTCGAGCCAACGAGCTTGCTAGGAGCTCCGCCCCCTCCTTTCCCTGGGACGGCGAGCACAGCTTCCTGCCCTGCTCCGCTACCAATACCATTCAGGTTGGGGACGTCATTTGGGCAGATGACATAGCCGTCCCTCGCATATGCCATCGATGCCATGACCTCCGAGCAGCAGTAGCTGCGGAAACTGGCGCCCTCACTGACTCCTGTGGTGAGCACGGCTTACTACTGGCGTACGGCCCCCACAAAACTGCTGCTGTAGTGACTGCAAAAGGTCCCGGGTCACGCAAAGTGCGCCAGGACCTATATGGCCCTGAGGATGGGCGAGGCACTATCGAAGTGCTAAGGGAGCACACGCATAGAGCAAAACTCCCGCTGGTGCACTCCTACCGACATCTAGGCACGCAGCAAATGCCGGCCGGATCCCTTTCACTTGAGATCCGGTACCGAGTCGCCCAGGCAAGAGCGGCGTACAGTGAGGGCCGCCGCAAGATCTACAAAAACCGACAAATCGGGGTGCGAAGGAAGTGCTATCTCCTGCGCTCCCTTGTCCTATCCAGGCTCACCCAAGGGGCGGGTTCGTGGCCTCCCTTGCCGCGTCGCGACAAACAAGTCTTCGATACAGCTGTGTGGCAGTTTTACCGCGGTGTGATCTGCATACCATGGAACGGGGAGCAGGACCTCACCGCGCTTGCTTGTTATGCCCTCACAGGTTTGCCGTCCCCTGACACGCTCCTGCGCACTTGTCGCTTGCAATATGTCTGCCAACTCTGCAGAGCTGGCCCCGACCCTCTGTGGGCTGCGCTGCGAGCCGATCGCTCCTTTTCCGAGTTTATCCTGGCCGACCTCCGCTGGATGCATGGCTGGCTGGCGACCACCTCGGACCTTGGGCACCCTGATCAGTGTTGGAGTTCTTGGTTCCAAATGATCCGGGACCGTCCAGGGCGATATAAGGGCCTGCTTAAGCGTGCATGTCGGCTCGATCAAGCCCGTCTTCAGTACGCTGCTGCCCTAGATGGGCTGCACCGTGCTATCCTCATGCACTGCAAGCACCAAAGTCCAGCTCCCATCGCCAATCCCTTGTGTGCAGAGATGTGCATACCGTGCAAGCGTGCTTTCAAGGACAGAGTATCCTGGGCGGGGCACGCGGCCCGATGCCACGGATACAGATGCAAAGCCCACCTGGTCGGAGATGGGACCCTGTGCCGCGCTTGTGGCAAGCGCTTCGCTACGCAACACCGACTGCGGAGACATCTGATCAGTGTGCCCTCGTGTGTTCGGAACTGGGGTGCCTTCAGCCCCGCCGATCCCGATGCCGCAAAAAAAGCACTGCATCTCCTAGCTCCTCCCAGCGTTGCGGCAGGTACTTTCGAGCCACCACCTGCCCAGACCACAGTTGATGATGTCTCCGACCTCCTTCTCAGCCGTCTCTCAGAAATTGTTGACGGTGAGGAGTCAGAAGTTTGGGCCATTATCTCTGAACATATTGAGCCGCTCCAGGTCCTGAGGAACACTGTTGCGGCTTGGCGAGCACAGCATCCGGACAGCCCTTGGCACCAAGAAGTGTCCGAGAACATGAGCTTACTCCTCGACCCGGAGATATCGGCCGAGGTATTCCCGGAAGGCACCAGGATCTCTCGCCCATCCCAGTCTGCACTGCCTCAGTGGCACACTCCCCGTGGCCTGTGTTTTGCTCTGACAGGTGATGTGTACCGCCGAGAGATCCTGCCGCCCCCGGACGGCATTCTACAGATCGACACTCCAACTAGCATCCCCCTGCGTACCGGCATCGGCATCGCCGATTGGGCAGAGGCTGCATGCACAATAGTTGCCGAGTGTGTTGCTATCGCACCCCGTCAACCCGTGATGCTACAGTGTCCTGGCTTTTGGACATGTATGCCCAAGGTGCGTGAGTGGTGCCTTGCATTGGGCTTCCACTGCTTTGAAAGTGGCTTTAGCTCCCCGAATCTGTAGGAATGCCGACTTGTTTCACAGAATTCATTTTCCTGCTAGGCGTGCGTCTACCTCAGACTCCATCGCTCCGAATGAAATATATACACCTACCGATAAGGTCGTCATATGTAGGTATTTATATATATATATATATTTATATGTAATATGTACTGATATTTATTTCGACGAACATTAGTACACGTATGTATGTATATATATATATATACACACACACACACATGTTTTCCATTTGGCTGCATTCAGAGGAGTATGCTGCCTAATCGAAGCAGGCAAAAAGCAGTATGCACTCAAGATGGAAGGCTCCTGCATATTTGCAGCGCACGTCTCTAAATCCAGTCTTAGTGCAAGCAAGCCTGACCCGGCACCGTAGAAGGATAAAGCCGTCTCCAACCCTAGCTTCTGCCAGTTGGCCTCGCGGGTCGTGCCGTAAGACTTGATGACCCGGGTCGCGGTCTTCAAGAGCTCCTCCGGCGCCGTTCGGGTCTCAAACACCTTTTCGCAGTGGTTCGCAGCGGCGTCCTGGATCACCCGCTGCACAGAGCCCATCATGGGAGCCAAGCGCTCGTGCAGCACCCGAGAGAAGCCCACCTTGTAGTCGTCGGAGGGCAGGTCAAGGCCTTCTGATTGTCTTCAGGCGCGCCGGGGCGCTGAAAACGATTTTGGTCTCGGCGCGGGACTGTGGATTCTTGCCCTTGGCCTCTTCCACACGAGCCCTGGTGGACATCCAGCTGCGTCGTGGACATGGACCGCGACGTCGTAAGAAACTATGGCCCTGGTGTTCAGGGTGTCGTAGTGGGGAGTCCTGTGGTCGGCATCCTTCGTGTAGTCATCCTTTGCGCTGTCGAAGAGCATCTTTCGGATATTGGCAAAGGAGTGGATCTTCTTGTCGCAGAGGTCCAGGCTGAAGACGTCGCTCTGACGGAACTTCTGGTCGACATGGCGTGCACACACTTCCCATCTGGGCCATGGCATCTGGGCATTGGGGCCTCGAGATTCCTGACTACTGGCGATTCGGGCCGTGCATGCATGTATTTATGCACATGCCCATCTATATATATATATATATCTATTTGCATATAGATACAGATGTATATATCAATACATAAATCTACATGGATATGTATATAAGATGTGCAGCTGCCCTGTCCCGAGGTCTCCTCAGCATCTCTGGGGAATCGGCTCCCAGAGGCCGAGATCCTCAGCAGTGGGGACGAGTGAACATCCGTAGGGCTTATAGGGTTTGGGGTGTTTGGGGTTTTAGGGTTTGGGGTTTCAGGGTTTGGGGGTTTGGGGTTTTAGGGTTTGGGAGGGTTTAGGGTTTGGGGTTTCAGGGTTTGGGGTTTTAGGGTTTAGGGTTTGGGAGGGTTTGGGGTTTGGGGTTTTAGGATTTGGGGGTTTGGGGTTTTAGGGTTTGGGGTTTTAGGGTTTAGGGTTTGGGGTTTCAGGGTTTGGGGTTTTAGGGTTTAGGGTTTGGGAGGGTTTGGGGTTTGGGGTTTTAGGGTTTGGGGTTTTAGGGTTTGGGGTTTTAGGGTTTAGGGTTTGGGGTTTCAGGGTTTGGGGTTTTAGGGTTTAGGGTTTGGGAGGGTTTGGGGTTTGGGGTTTTAGGGTTTGGGGTTAGGGTTTAGGGTTTGGGGTTTTAGGGTTTGGGGGTTTGGGGTTTAGGGTTTGGGGTTTCAGGGTTTGGGGGTTTGGGGTTTTAGGGTTTGGGGTTTGGGGTTTCAGGGTTTGGGGGTTTCAGGGTTTGGGGGTTTGGGGTTTTAGGGTTTGGGGTTTTAAGGTTTAGGGTTTGGGGTTTTAGGGTTTGGGGGTTTGGGGTTTAGGGTTTGGGGTTTCAGGGTGTGGGGGTTTGGGGTTTTAGGGTTTGGGGGTTTGGGGTTTAGGGTTTGGGGTTTCAGGGTTTGGGGGTTTGGGGTTTTAGGGGTTGGGGGGTTGGGGTTTGGGGTTTTAGGGTATAGGGTTTGGGGTTTCAGGGTTTGGGGGTTTGGGGTTTTAGGGTTTAGGGTCTGGGGCTTTTAGGGTTTGGGGTTTTAGGGTTTAGGGGTTTAGGGGTTAGGGTTTAGGGTCCCCCACAGTGTTAGACTCGGGAATACTATGCTGTTAATTCTTTATGCTAATGTCAAGACAAGTAGTAGACAAAGGGAATGAACAGCTATGATAAGGAGCCCTCATGAATGAAAGAATCCAAAAAATGGAGCGGTAGTAAAGTTCCGCACCAGGTGTGGGCAGCTGGCCTCTCCAAAGGACAGGCAAGGCGAAAAGTCCAACATGTTGCTCTGCAACTTTTAGAGGTCAGGGTTTGGGGTTTAGGGTTCAGGATTTTGGGCTTGGGGTGGAAGATTCTTCCGGAATTGCTGGCAACGTCACTGGCCACCCGGGCTCTGCACTGATCTATATCTTTTCAAACCATGACGAAGTTTGCTTCTCTCTGCCCTCATGGGAAGGCCTCCTTGCTGGGAGCTGGTCCAGCACGCCTGTGGCATTGTCCTTCTCTCTGATTCAGAGACGGACCTCCGCTTTGGTCAGAGGCAGAGTTGTGCTGAGCTCAGTGGCCCACGGCACTTCGTCATGCCACCCTTCGAGGGCCAATCGCGGTTTTTCTTGCCTCCATTTGTGTGTGCAAGCTGTGCTGTCTCTCCAATCGCATGATGTTTGCGTCAACCTAGACAGGTAAATAAACGCCATCATACAGAACGAGACGTGCTCTGTTTCAGGACTCGGGGAGAGCACAAGCAGAGAAATCAGCATGTTCCAGAAGAGCAAAACAATTAGCAATCGAGTGGTGCTGCATCTAGTTGAGCACTGTTGTCGGCGGCACGTTGGCTGAGGTGGTCTGACATGGCATGCGGCCTATGACCGAACTTCTCGGACGTGCAAGACTCGGCCCAGGGGGGGCTCTCATGTTCGTGGGCATGTCGCCCCATGTGGTGCACGATAGGCTCGGCGGGGCCTTGGGTGAGTTCTCGACGCCCCTCAGTGATGTCGGGCGCACAAGATTGCAAGTTGAAGCGATTTCCTTGAGTACATTCGGGACACGTCACGAGTGCAGGCAAGTCTTTGCGATGATTCGAGGTGCCTTACAGCTTCGCACGAACTGGAGATTGCTTCTGAAACACGCCAGCTGCCCTGCCCGGTCCTGCCCTGGCTTGGCGAGGCTAGGAGGATTGAGAAGCTGGACAGATGAACAGCAGCGATCCTCACTGGAATGGTTCCACCGAAATGTCCAGGCGGCTCGGGCACTCTTCGGATCTGCGTCTGATAGGGTATGCTGGGAGAGCAAAGACTCAACTGAGATCTACGTCTTGGAGATGCCTGGTTTGGTGCAGCAGCCCGAGGACGTGCCCAAGCGCTGTGTCAGAAGAGATCTCCTTTCTGTCCTGCCGTTCCAAGGCTCAACACTGGCCGTGAGACTCTCGCCAGTGCCACACTTAGCCTTTGCGCAACGCTTTCCATCAAAGTAGACATCCACACTTTTGAGTCAGGTCTTGGCTCGCAGGGGTTGCAAGGCACCCCCGTGGCAGGCCCGGCGGGGGGGGGCTATAAAGACAGGACCCCAAAGAAGGGCAGGAAGAAGAATATGCGATACTAGTATGGTTGTCCCGCCCGGTGAGGCTATGACTTGAACTTGGAGCTGGATCTCCAGGCCGGAGCGCAGACTCCTGCTCTTCCCGTATCTCTCTCTGTTAGCCTTTCTTGGGCCTGCGGAGGCGGCCGTGATGGATGGATCCTTGCCATCGGGCTTCGACATCAAGCACTTCAAGGACCAGGTGCAGTCCGCGGGGCGTCCGAAGCAGTCGAGAGCCCCTTCTCATTCCACTCGACGGGCAAGGTGGGCGCACTGAGTCTTGCCGCGAGCCGCGACCTCACGTGGTTAACGTTCGAACGGGCTTTTACAATGAAATCATGCATGCAAGATGCCGGGACACGAGAAGGACTCTCCACATCCTTCGAAGTCATATCGCCCCTACAGCAGCACAGCTTCAAAGTTGCAAAACAACTCCGCGGTCAAGCGAGGTCGAGTTGCCACCTCACCTGCTCAAGAGTGTCAAGACTCAAGACTATGAGATCGTTAAGCCACCTTCTTTGGATCAGTTTGACGTATATCGCAGCAACGCCTGCCAACGTGGATCAATATTTCAAGTGCAGGAGCAGTCTCGAATCGAGCGTTCGGTTCTTGCATTGCCTTACCCGGCAGTCTTCATGGTATCGAGTTTCCTTGTAAAGGCAGCAGCATCTGCAATAAGTGCACCGAAGTTGAGACGAAACTCAAAGCTAGGCATAGAGTCTTTCACATTGATCCCCTGCAGTGTGCTTCGTATTGAGGCCATTTCCACGTCCAGAATTTGGCCCGGCGATCTGCAGCCCCGAAGCCCATAGTCTTGGTTCTGGAGGACGAGCTTCTTCGCATCACACGTACTTGCATGAACTGCTGCCGTCGAAAGGATGGAGCAGCGTTGGCAGAAGACTTTCGCCACAAGGTCTGGTCGCTGATCCAGGAGGAGTCGGGATCGTGCAGCTCCCTCATTCATTTCAGGTCGGTGCGGGCAATCGGACTGTGTGTGCACGGTGGATGTCTCAGCGCCGGCGCACTCCCAAGCATACGACGAAGCTGCTTCGCACAGAAAGAGCGCCTCAAACGTCATCCAGCTCTCAGAAGCTGCATGATGCAAAGGCACAGGATTGTCGGGGACCGGACAAAGTCTGGTGCAAAAAGTCGAGAGACTGCCAAAGGAAACATCAAGACCACCAGTCCGCAGATGGGCATCTGCTCCTCCGAGCCGCAAGTCTCAACGTTCGCAGTGGCAAGTGTCGCGGGTCGCAAGTGCCGCAAGCGATCTCGTCAAGCTTCAGCCCTCTTCTTTCTGGCAGGCGTGTGTGACTCTCAGTTCCTCTTTTCTATCTCCCCTCCTCTGAGGAATATAGGATGAATGTTGCTCCAACTCCTTGCTTTTGCCGTGGCAGCCCTCGCAGGAGACTCCGTGTGACTGGAACGTGCTATCCTTGTCGTCCAGCTGCCCCACGGGACGTTGTACGTCACCGCACCTGGCGCGCATCGGCGTGGGCCCCAGAGACCCCCAACCCTAAACCCTAAACATCCCTAAAAGCCCTAAAAGCCCTAAGATCAAGCAGGCTCTCAAAACAAACCCTAAGATCCCTGACTTGGCACGCGATTGCCTGGGGAAGTTGGCGCTGAAGGCTCCGATCTCCGGCTCTCCAGCTTGGAGCCGCTCGGTCGCTTCCGTGATGCATGGGTAGTTGTCAAAACTAGGGCCCTTATTGGGGGTAACTACTCTAAATATTAGGTGCCGTAATATATTAAGGACCCCAAAAGGGGCCATAATTTTGACAACCACTCGCATAGCTGCGTCAAGCTGCCGCGGGATGGCGAGGCGATGTCGAGAGGTCACAAGCCGAGGATTTAGAGGCGGGTCCCGGGCTCCGCACAGAGCGATGCTTCACTGCTCTGTTCTTACTGATCAGGCATCCTGTATCGCACCGGGACGATCGCCGATTTTCAGAACCGATGGATGCAAGCAGCATTCTCAGCACATGAGGAAACGCAGGTGCTTCTGCAGATGCCTCGACGCTTTAAGGTGGCCTTTGACTTCGCCCATCCAGACTGCTCGACGCTCTAAAGACACAGCCCACATGAAGTAAGCGGCATAGCGCCTGAAGCCAAGATCGGTCCACCACAGGTCTGAGTCTGGATGCCTCGCTCGGGGCCATCTCAGACGAGGCAGGGATGGAGTCTCCCCTAAACCTGCTAAGCCCTGCACCCCATAGTCCGTAGCATTGAAGTGCAGGTTGCTTTTTATGCAGTGCCAGCCGTGTCGGCCTGAGAGAGTTTCATCATCTGAGCTCTGCCACGTTTGCGGGGCCCTGTGCACCGAACCGTGCTGACAGGTCCAAGCTCCTGGAATTCTGAAAAGTTGCTAGACTTAGACTCGGTTTAGGGTTTAGGGTTTAGGGATAGTCTTCGACGTCCCCAGTAGGTTCACAGCTTAGCAACTGGGAGCAGCCAGCGCTGTTCCAGAATTCGAAGCGTTTACGTTTCATGGCAGATCTGAGGTGAATACTATCAAAGGGGAAAAGGAGGGACCCTTAATGGGGACCCCTAACCTATAGTACCCTTGGATACTAGCCTTTGCTGCCCAAAGACAATGCAAGTGTTGAGTCTGCGGCAGAACACCGTGTCCTGGACTCTCATACATCGAAGTTTCCGAATAATTTAGGGGTGCCTTATTTTGGGGGCCTTGTAATAAGGATCTTACTATTTAGGGGACTATAGTAGGGTCCCCTATTTTCGGAAACTCCCGCATGCGCTCCCAAGTCCATGACTTGTTCCAGAGGGGCAAAGACCGATCTTGCCCCAGTCGTGATCGCTCGGACAGAAGCTTGCTTGCCCTGTTCAGCTTTTCGACAGCAAGTCCAAAATCACAGAGAAGGCACCTGCAAATGTAGAGCTTCACAAATGCACCTGCATGCCAAGCCGAGAGGTGGACATCTGGTCCATGGGCTGCATCTTCACGGAGATTAATGGTGGACCATTACCGTGCGCTAGCACCTGCCGTTCTGATGAAGATGTCGCACTTGTGCAGTCTCGATGCGACAGCTTCCATGCACAAGGTATCTTCGTGGTTCCTTGTTATGTGTAGTGGAACAAGTCACTTACTCCGGCTGCCGCATCCAAAATCCATTCGTGAAGCTTTGCACGATCGCCTGGGTGGGTGGTCTTGGAGGCAAGGGTAGTGCCAAATGATTGCACGCGTAGTGGCGTAGCTTAAGATCGGTTTTCACGAGCATACAGAAGGCTGATCTGAGGCAGCCGAAGCGAATGCTTTCACACTGGCGTTTCGGGTTAGGGCCTGTAGCATTTCGCACCCGCGGGTGCTCAGTGCTGCTGTCGCCGCGTCCCTTTTGACGTGTGAGTGACCGGCCACTCCCTTCAGCCTTTGTCGAGCTACTCCGTCGTCTTCTTGATGATGCCATGATGCTTCATCGCAACCACGAGAGAACAAGACCACGCAACATCTTCATCGAAGAAGCATGCACCAAAATTCCTGACTCTGCCAGCACAGCTTTGTGGTGCATCGTCGGCGCTGCTGCCAAATGCCAACCTTCTCGCTGCTTCGTCTTTGTCTTTGCCGCGCATCGTACTCTCCCGCCCTTGGGTGCAAAATATCTCGTTGGGCGGCTTGAGTAGGCGGGGAGGCTGGCAAGATGAAAGTTTTGGGGTCGCCAGACGCGCAAGTTGGGCATCCCCGTCTCAGACTTTCAATACACCTCGAAGCTGCAGTACATATTTGCAACGTGCAGTCGGATCTCAATCCAAAGGGCAATCGCCTGGCCCCTGCTGACTCTTTTGCAAAGCTCCTGACAAACTTCTGCTTGCCTTCCGCTTGCAGGTACGAGGGTATCAACACTCTCGCAGAGCTCACAAGAGCGATGCTGGTGAACAGGAGGAGAGTCCTTACTTGGCCTTAGCGAGATGAGAGGGAAGCGGTTCGCGCAGCGAGCGGAGGACCCCGGTGATTCCTCCCACGATACCGGCAGTGCTTCAGGCTTCTTGTCTTTCTGGAAGCTCGGTGTGAGTTGCTTCTTCCTTCGTCAGGCAGTCATTTCCGGCTGTTATCAATTTGAGGGACGCTTCCGCCCTTCAGCGCGGCAGGTGATGGCCGCAGGGGGTTGCAGCCCAGGATGCTTCAAAGAGAGAGAGCCCGCTGAGGTTTACGACCAGCTTCGTGAAGCCAAAAAGAAACTCAAGGCAGATGGCATCCTTGACAAGGAGCTGCAGCAAGACTAGGACTAGACGCCTTGCCCAGCTGAGTGGGTCGCGGCTCAATCTCAGCTTAGGGTTTCAGACGTAGTTCATAGCAGTGTGTGCCAATCTTACTTCCCTTAAGTCCTTCCCGTGTTGCTGTGGCAAGAGTGGCTAATTGCTGAATTCGTTTTAATGCCAGCTTGACACTGGGGCCGAAGCTGTTCAAAAACGGGTGACTCTGCCGCATGCAGACCTGCTCTCATCATGACAACAGCCAGGCCAATGAATCGGCCGACACTACCGCAGAGTTCTGGCTCGGACACAGCGTTGTGCTTCTGGGTCCTCACAGTCGCAGCATATTCGTCTAGGGTTCTACTACGATTTCAGGCGGTTCTATCCATCGCTGTAGCAGTCAACCCCACGCCCTCGAAGCCTCAAGCACCCAGCCTTTGCAGGCTTGGGCATTTGGTTATTTTTTGTTTGTTGTGAGCTCCCTCTGCTTTAACGCTTTGAGGTTCGAGTTGGAGTTTATTTTTTGCATCGGTTATAAGGCTTCGAGGTCTCGAAATCGAATCTGCAGGAGTAGAAAGCAACCCCGTACTGAAAATATTGGGTTCTTTAACTCTGGGCCAAGCAGATGCTGCAGCTGCTACTTGCGACGAAAACTCGGCAGGAGCTGTTGCAGGACACGAATGGGGGCTGTCTTTGAGATCTTGCCTGCAGTGTGATTTCTGGAGTCAGGATGATGCACATGGAGCTGCACTCCATCGCTCGCTCACCACATGGGACTTGCTGGCCGCATCCTCAGCCGAGAATTTGTGTACGCGTCGTTGGAGGACGTGTCGCATCGAATCGTTGCTGAGGCCATAGGTGTGGGCTCGACCGTGGGCACAGGGGTTTTCTCCATCACAAGCCAAGTAGCGGCGCAGCAGGTCGGAGGGGCGGGGGGCGCAGCGCCTTTTCTGCGAGACCGGCTCCGATAAGACCCGAGGCCGGTCCTGCTGTCCTGCTCTGTTGGTGCGCCGGTGGTGCTGGCTGCATGCTTTCCGCGACTCTCGGTTACACTCATGCCAAAAAAGCGTGTGTCGGCTGGGGCTGTGCATTGCTCTTCGGAAGCAGGGGCCTTTGCGCACCCAGGCTCGCCTACATGGAACTCTCGGCAAGGCTGCCTGTGGCAGGATCGGTGTATGCATTTGCATACCATGCGCTGGGAGAGGCTGGCTTGTGCTCATAGCATAATTTTACAATCCGGATTCGGCACATTTTGGTGCGCTGCGCTGTACAGGTCTTTGCCGTGGTCGCTGCGGGCTGCATTACTCTGGAGTATGGGTGCCTTTGCTCAGTGGCCTGTTTTCCGTTGTTTTAGAGTTAGAGAATTTGATGGATCGATGCTTGTGGGGAGAAAACCATAAAGGAACGAGGGCAGAGCAGAGACAGTCGCGAATGTCTACGACGTGGTTCCACTCCTCTAACATTGTCGGGGGTTCAACAGACACGTATCGACCAAGTTGTTGTACACCTCGCCAGTTGCCTGCCATGTGCAGGATCTCTGCATCCGCGGTGGCTGCAAACTGGGGTGACAAGTTCAGGCTACTTTTTCACAGAAGTTAGATCGCGGTGGTACTCGTAGCACCCTTGCTCAGTCCTGGGTTCATTCAAATCCCTCGGACAGGACTCTGGTGGCCTCGCTCGGAGCACCATCATTTGCCAATGCCTCAAAGCAAGTTCCATACCTCATAGAGTTGATTTCGGGAACACGTGAACGTGCCCTGTCGGTCTACGGACTGAATCGCAAAGGCTTCCCATCTTACCACGAAGTTGCCTGGCTGAAGTGATATCCATACTTAGCCCCTTTGACCTTCGGTCAAACCCGGGGCTAGAGCCGTTCTGCCACGAGGCTTCGGTACATTGCAAGAGCCAATTAGGATCCGAACATCTCTCATCCCGTGCATGTGTCAGTGAAGCCAGTACTCCGTGTGCTTGTCGTTTTTCGTGGCCCGGCTGTGAGTGGAAGACCTCGACAACTCCGAAACCTTCCCGCAAACCAGGATTGGCCCAGTGACACTGTCATTTCCAGCGCTGGTAGCTGCTCGACGCGATGATGGGCTGTCCGTAGCAGAAGTAGCATGATTTCGACGCCCAGGTTCTCTTGCTGGTCACCACATTGGTCTACGTTGGAGGAGATCTGGGAAAGCGTTTCGCACGAGGCATCGAAAGCTCCAAGTGGCAGCCCTGTTTTGCCTCTGGGCCTCGTCCTTTCTCGCAGTTTCCTCGGCCTTGGCGGTGCTCCTCATCCTGCTGATGGCCCGGGACCCATAGTCCGAAAGAGGCAGCGTCAACAAGCGTCTTTTTCTTCTTTCGGCAAAAGCTCTCCCCCGAGATTCCTAAATAGATGATTTCGGAAATGCTGAGACATTCGTCCGAGTTAGTTTTGTCACACGGCGCGCGAATTCGTCAATGCCACCCACATGCAGCTGGCCCTCAAGCGCACATGCAAGAGGGGCCGGTCTGCGTTTCTCCACAGAGTAGTCAACCTAGTTTTCTGCAGAGCGGCCCCGCAAGTGGCTTTGATTGGCTCGGGGTTTCCACCTTCACATCATGGCCTCTTCAATTCCCAGCACGGATGCACAGTCGACGAGCAAATCAAGACTTTGGGAGTTCATGCGGGCTGATTTGGATGGTCCTCGGGATGCTACCTGAGTCCTGGGTAACGGGCTCCTAGCGAGGAGATCTAGCGGCTTACTCGCAGATGGAAAAGGCACAAAACCAAGACGGATGACGACAGTAGAGTTGGAATTGATGTGGGAAGAAGCATTTACGAAAAGGATCAAAAAAGGCACAACCAAGACATACCAAGACTATAACTTAACTTGAACGGTGAAGTGAGTCACGATGCTCTGATGCCTGCGGCGGACACATGCCTGTTCCCAGGCCCTTCTTAAGGACTTCCATACTCGTTAAGACTCGTCGCAAGCAATGCTATAACAGTTCCACACGGTCACAGTTGATTCTCAGGTTGCAGCTGCCATGACGAAGTTTCAGGCCACTCTTTGCATCCAAGATGTATGGCCGTTCGAATGTTACTCGGCATCCAGCCACGGTCAGGCTGAGCATTTCGATCCCTTCGTGCCGTCGGAATTTGGGGCTTCAGGTACCGTGGGACTCTGCTTCAGCTTCGTGTGGTGGTATGAGCCAGCCTGGACACCCACGAAACACTTGCAGAGTGTGAGGTTATCGTGGACTTGCGGCCTGTCCAATGTCGGTGCAGGCGTGATGTCCGGATGCGTGACCACCTTCTTCGGTTTCCTGGGCTACGACGAAGTCTGTTGCATGGCCGGAGAGGCCAGAGCATGTCAAGACAGACCATAGTATTGGATATTACGAGGAAAGTGCTAACATTATCTATACGACTTGTACTAATACTGCTGCACTCCTCCTCCTCCTCCTCCTACTTGTGCTTCTGCTCCGGCTCCTGCTTCTGCACCTGCACCTACACCTGCACCTACAACACAACTAATACTAGTCACTCGTACTAGTGCTATGATGAGAAGGGCCTGAAGGGGCCTCTGGTTCGCAGCATGTTACTACGTCAAGTGCCTCGGCTGCACAGCCTCAGACTTCGCTGGAGCCCACTGTCCACGCTGGCGAAACTGCTCAGACCGTGCTTGAGACCTCGGATGCTGCCTCTGGTAATCTGTGTTGCTTCGATCTTACTGAGCTGGACTAGCGCTTTTGGGACAATGGCGAATCTTCATGGCGATCCGTTATGTGGCGACTGCAGACGGTTAGCTGCGTTTTTGGAGAGGGTGGGTGGCAGGTGATTGCCGACTTACAGCCATCTGAGCTGCCGGGCAATGCCTGCCTTTCGTCGGATCATCTGATTGGTGAGACGTGTGCAATGCATCACTACTACTACTACTACTACGACGACGACGACTACTGCTGCTATACGCCGACGACTGCCACTACTACTGCTGCTACTGCTAGTGTAGCTGCAACTACTACTACTGCTACACGACGACTACCACGATTACTGCTGCTACTGCTTATATAACTGCAACTGCAACTGCAGCAACAACAGCTACTACTACTGCTGCTCCTGCTGCTTGTTTTGCTGCCGCTACTACTGCTGTTACCCAAACTGATAATGCACAGCAGATAGTACACAGGAAATAATGAACAAGGCAAGCAAGCAAGTAACTATAAAGAGGGCTGTTGCATACATATCCACCTAAGCTGACGTGGCTCACCGACCGACTGACAGACTAACTGGCTGGCTGAATGGCTAACTAATTGACTTACAAACACTCCGGCTATCTAGTTAACTCAGTATTCCCTAGCTGACCAACTGACTGACTAACTAGCTGATTGTCAAACTAGCTAGTTTAACGGGTTTGTTGCATGAATAGATACATAAATGCGTCACCAAAGGCCCAGACACAACAAGTGTAATGGTAGGAGCAATGAGATTAGCTGTCGCAATCATACTGATAGTGATGTGCCCATCACTCTAGTCCTCGTGATAACCCTAAGCCCAGAACCCTTATAGTAGGCAGACGGAAAAGGGCCCGCAAAAACAAAAAAAAAACCTTATAGTAGGCGGGAAAAGGGGCTTAAAGACCCAAAACCCGTGTCATGATGCTCTCTTGCGAGAGGCTCTGGAGCCGCAGAAGTCGGTTCCCCGAGCTGTGCTCGGGACCGTGTTCATTGCGACGCTGCTCCCGGCCTTGGGATCGGTTGCTCTGGTTGGCCAGGGCCTTGAGGGGTTTAGGGGGTTTAAGGTTTAGGGGTTTAGGGGTTTAGGGGTTAGGGGTTTAAGGTTTAGGGGTTTAAGGTTTAGGGGTTTAGGGTTTTTGGGGTTTCTGGCGTTTCTGGTGAAGGTGTGTCTTGGGTTTAGTTAGTGGGTTTGTGGTTTGGTGCGTTCAGGGTTTGGAGTTTAGTGCGTTCAGGTTCAGGATTTGGGGTCTAGTGGTGTTAGTGGGTTCAGGGTTTGGCGTGTTCAGGCTTTTTAGGGTTTAGGGGTTTAGGGTTTAGGATAGGGTTTAGAAAGTTTAGGGTTTCGTGGTTTAGCGGTTTGGGATTCGCGGTTGAATCATGTCGGGTTTGGGGTTTAGGCTGCGCAGCAAGCAGGTCGTTAGTAACGTTGCGAGCAGAAAGAGGGCTTAGATGGGGATCTTAGGGCTTCAGCATTTTCCGGTGCAGGCCTCTACATTTGAGGATGATGCTTTCAGGTCTGGAACATGTAGATTCTGCAGGCCAGAAACCTCGAACTTCTGAACAAATCTTTCCTTCAGGATCTTCAGGATCCTGTTTCTAGCTGCAAAAATTTTCGCTGAAACGAGACTTTGCAACACAAACCTGAGGTCTGTGGGACTGTTCAGGAGGTGAATCGCATACGTCCTTGTCAAAGTGCTGTTGGTACGAGCCGGCGCTAAGATCCTGAAGCCGACAGGCACGGCAGCTGAATTTTGTGTTTCAGCCGAGTCAAACAAACCACCTGAGCATCAACCGTCTTTCTGCAGAATCAAATTGGCTAAACCCTAAACCCTATAGATCCCTTGTAGATCCCGTAAGAGAACCCTATAGATCCCTGCCATCGCAAGGCTTCTTGCCATACAGCGACATCGATGCCAATTCGGGCTTCGAAGTGGCTTTCCGCCAGAGGCCGGAGATGACGCCCAGGGCAATTTGACTTGCAAGCAACAGAGATCTTGAGGGTCAGACCAAATTGAAGAACTCAAGTGAAATTTCCAGACTTGCAAACAGCTGCCTTCCGTACCGAATGCCCCCCCCATGGCAGGGGATGGACGTTCCTCTCCCACATGGTGAGCATTGGAGAGCTAATCGTCCTTTTTGTCGTCACGTATATGTCCGGAACCTGGTTGGGTTTGGGTGTTTGGGTGTTTGGCTATTGTTGCTTCTGTGGTGCTCTCGGCCCGAATCGCCATCATTGGTTTTGATTGCAATTGCAGGTGCTTCTTAGCGCAACCACGGGTTTTCTATGCCTTATCCATGCATGACCTGCTTCCGAGAAGGCTGGGATGCAATATGGGACACTGCGGAGGGGGCCCGTTGCAAGAGCCCGTCGGTGCAGGTTCCGTGATCTGGACGAGCACGGCACTCCATGGTTTGCGACACTCTGGTTCTTCGCTCAGTCCGCTAATGTGGTAGCGTGCCTTTGCCAGTTTCTTTCTGATAGAGAGGACCGGCCTGCTCCTCATCGCCTGCGGGGCGCTGCTTCCCTTTAGCACCTTGGCAAACGCCATCTCCGGCGGTGTTTGCGCCGGGACCTCGGTAATCGCACACTGCTCACTGCCTGCCCAGCAATCTCATTTCTTCCAAAGACAACCTCGGTGTTCATTCCTTTCTTGTACTCCCCATGCTGTTCGGAATGTGCTAAAGGGCGCAAATCCGACCAGGTGGCTTTCAACCTTGTGAACTGCTCGCTCATCGTTCTGAGAAGAGGAGGGCGGGCCGCAAACCGTCAACTGGGGGTAAGGGCCCTGGAGCTGGCAAGCAAGGAAGCAAGCCTGTCACAGCTGGACTTCCGAGTTTCCCAGTTCGAATCAAGGGCCGATACTGTCCCCGGCGTGTTTCCAGGCTGCTCTGGTTGCCTTCAACTTGTTCTCTTTCCTTGCGGCCGTGCTGCTGCAGTGATACCCTCGGGGAACAACAGTGCAAGCTCAAGGGAACCAAGCACCTGGCAGGCATGGTGGGAACGGACTGCTGGCATGGTCTCGAATAGCTTCGCTCGCTTGTTGCATTGCGACCTTGCTGGCCCTGGTCGCGGCCCAAGGAGATACCGGGAAGAGAGAGAGACAGAGAGGGCTGTCTCAGAGAGAAAGCCCTAAGCCTTCTGGGAGGTCCTACTGGCCTGGCAGCTGGGTGCTAGTCAGGAGCATCTCGACGCGTGATGCCGTGTGATTCAAGCATGAGCGTATGGACTTGGCTTCACGTTTTTGTGCTAGGATGAGGGACAGAGTGAAGAGGCTGGGAACATCAGTTGCGTCCAGTTGGATTTCCTTCTATCTCCAGTTATTCCAGGCTTTCTACCGGGTCCCTTACGTACCGTGGATTCCATGCTGCGTGCCTTGCTTTGCAAGAAGCCTCCGCAAACGGCACTGAACCTGTCTCCGCAATCAAGCCGTTTTCAAGATAACATTCACCTAGTTCGGGTCAGTGGTTCTCAACGAGGCACTGATTCAGGTCGAGGTCTTGCCGCAGTTTTGTCGGGCCGGGCTTGGGGCTTCTGTCTTGCTTGCAACCTTCTACGTTTGAGGCCCTGGTACTGAAATTGAAGAGTTGCAGCTGAGGCCATGGTTTTCAACAACGTCATGCTGTCTTCGCTCAAGGCAGTGGCAGCTGTGTGTTTCGCGCCTGGCTTTGGCAACTCAACCAGAAACAAACACGGCCCACACACAGCAGCGTTCACAATGATTTGTCTTGAGAAGGGTTCTCCTTAGAGCATTCGGCGGGTCTCTCTCAGGTGGCGAAAATGTCCGCGATGTCTCCTTGTTTGTGCGACGTGTTGCGGTGGCGCTCACGGGGATCTTTCATCAAAGGCCTCTGCGTTTCTGCGTCAAAGGCCTGAAAGCGTGTCGCTACGTCTTGTTGACCCGTGGCCCGGACTCAGAGGCGCAGGGGTATACAGGGGCTTTCCCTAAATGCACCGGTTCAAACGGGGCTCACGGTTGCGAAGCAAAGCTCCAGAAGAAATTCAACAGCCGTGCGAGAGCGCGTCACAACCTCTTGTGGTTTGGACCACCGTGCATAATAGCAGGCCGCAGCCCGTCGTTTTGCCTCGCGATCGTTGTTCCGAGATTCTAGCGACCCTTTTCGGTTTTGCTTCATGCTTCTTGACGAAGAATTACGGCAGCGCTGCTGCCTTTCAATGTTGGTGGCTTAGATCCCTAAGATCTTGCCAATGCGTTCGGGTGAGTTATATCCCGTCGCGTCGTTGGCAGGCACAGGACTTTTTGCTCCTGGCAGTGTACTTGCTGCTGGTGGCACCGCACTAAGCTGACTGTTATCGGGGCACCAGACAGCAATAGGCATCACGATCCCTTGATCCAGGTCTGTCCGTACCTCACTGCAACGCTTTGCCGATTCAAGAAGAGAAGGCCTCGACGTAGCAGCTTTGGGCAAAACGTTTGAACATCCCCGACTACAAGTGCAAAACGCTGGAAAGGTACATAGACAGGCACGCAGATAGTCAGACACGATGACCGAGAAGCGATCTGGCACACAGTGACAGCAAAAGGTCGTAGGTACCCACTTACTTGCCTAGCGTTTTCGTGGACATGTCAGGTGCTCGTGCAATGCATGTTTTCGATCAAACGAATGCTTGTACTCTAATTTCACAAAAAAGGACATCCACCCATCCGTCCATCCCTCGCTCCTTCCCTCCATCCATCCATCTATCCATGCATCGGTAAAGCATGCTTTCTCACTTTCGTACTTGCTCGCTTACTCGCTTGCATGCTTGCATGCTTGCTTGCTCGCTCGCTTGCTTGCTTGCTCGCTCGCTTGCTTGCTTGCTCGCTCGCTTGCTTGCTGGCACGCCCGCTTACTTGCTTGATTACTTACTTACGTACTTCCTCACCCACTTACCCCTTTACCCACTTACTCACTTAGAATTCACTTGCCACTTACTTACTCACTTACTAACTAACCAGCTAACTTACTTACTTCTGTCTTGCATATTTTATTTCAATAGAGACATGCATGCATGTATACATACATTCACGCACATGCGCACACACACACACATACATACATACATACATACATACATACATACATACATACATACACACATACATATTTTATACGCATACAAATTTGTGTATATATATATATATATCCACATGAACTTATGTGCATTGGTTCGGTTTTATTCATGTACTTGTTGATGTATCTATGCAGTGACTATTTCCGCATCCACCTCCACATCTATCCGTCTGTCCCTTTGTCCAACATTGTAAGTATAAATAAACGGGCGCACATCTCAGTATAAACAAACATCATGTATGAGACGCCTCCCATCGCCGCCCCCTCCCCCGCCCACCCTTGTATGGTTTCCGCAGTTCTGGAGACATGCAATGCAGGCTTGCATTTCCGCGACCATCATACTAGATTTGACCGCTTACCGCATACACAAGCGCACATGCACATACACATGTAGGGATGCAGCCGCGGGCAAGGCAATCGACGGTGGAAGTAAGCCTGGCAGCAGAAGGACGGCCAGCAACTGACTTTCTTGGAAAGATCCAGGAGCAAAAGCTGATGTCGCGACTTGCAGCAGCTGTTTGAGCCATGCTCAGGTAGGATGGTTCCGCTCGCGGAGATCGTCCTGCATTGCCCATGCAAGAACTTGGCAGCCATCAATGGAGCTCACTCGAAGAGGTGCGGGTACGCCGCAGCATGCTGTAGTTGTTTTTTTTTCTGGCGACCTGTGGTAGGAGAGCCAGTGAGTACTCTGCAGGGACCTGCTTGAGGAATGGATGCCTATGTCTGTGTGTGGGTCGTTTTGATTGACTCACTGTCGCCGACGTTGCCATGGTGCTGCAGGACCCGCGACCTGGAGTCGTTGCGCATGGAGGTTGAAGACTCACTGTTGCAGGTAACGAGTCAGTCAGAAAGTGTACTAGGAGAGTTTCTTGAAAGCATAGCTATACGTGGTTCCAGCGCCCGAAAGCACTCAGACTGTGTCAAAGTTCTCTTGTTCTAAGATCTCCGTGGATTCTCCGCCTTCCAGATCATGATCCAGATCTGAGCCATGAAGCTTAGCCGGCACGCGGCTTTCGGCTTCATCGAAGGAGCATTGGAGCGGCACATCGCCAGAGTCCTGCGAATTCTATGTGCCCAGAGCGACGGCAAGAGGAAAGAAGAGGCTGTGCTGTGCGAGCGAAGTGCTTCACCGGGCAACCTTGGGCACTCAAAGTGATGACAAACTGTTGGGATGACAGTCAGTGTGGCTTTGCGAGTGAGGAGTGTATCTTCAGTTTCACGTCGCCTGCACTCTTTACAATGCCAGCTTGGACGAGTGCCATGCATTGAGATACGCACCTACGCACCTGCTCAGCTGCAACCTTCTGAAGCATAAGCTTGATACCACAGAAGCAGGACCACCATAGCAGGGGTTATACGCGCACGCACTCCCAGACTCACACGCTCGGGCCTTTTCTGTCCTGGGAATCTTAAGCCTTTGCATCCTTTAGGTGCAGAGCCCAAATCAAAAGTCCAAAACTGCAACCGTCAGCCTTAGAAATCTTAGCGTTGACGTTGTGGCCGTCGTTCTGCCTCACTCCATCACTCCCTCACTCTCATTTACTCACTTACTCACTTACTCACTTACTCACTTACCCACTCACTCACTCACTCACTCGCTGGACACACTCCTTCGAAGGTGCATGCTCTCGGGAACTGCTGCTAACCCTTTCGGAAAAATACGCATGTGGGGGTTATCCGGTCCTTCAATTTTTGGATGAATCGACTTTGAACTGCAGTCAGCTAGCACTCTTGACGCACAAAGCTTCGGCTGGCATAGCTTCCTTGTATTGGGATTGGAAGGAGACCCACGAAACAGTTAAGATACAATCCAAATCTAAATCATTCTCTCGCCGATTCTCTAAAGTCTAAAGCTTCTGAAAAACGAAAGCTTTCCGCTCCACTCTTGACCTCTGCGGAAGCGTCATAGTTGCTGCAGCAACTGGTTCGGAGGCATACAGCAATTGCTTTTAATTGCGGAAGCGATTGTGTGTAACACAATCACTGTCTGAATGCCACACTTTGGAGTCTGGCTAGATCTTGTTGAAGACCTGGTGACATTGTCTTTGATCCGTGTCCAGATTTTACGTTTCCAAGAATAAGCCAACAGTGGTTCCTTCAACGCATTTCAACGCCAAAGTCGCACAGAGCATCAGTTAAAAATGGCCTTCAGACAAGACATGCTGGAATGCCTTTCGACATGACAACCAAGATGGTCTTGAAGGGCTGGTGGCGCAGTGGTGGCGCCATGGCGTTTTGTGAGAGCCCTTGCCTGTTTGAACAGGGTGACGGAGATTCTTCACTTCAGTTCGTGCGTTGCCTTCCTTCTTGCTTTGTCTGCCGCCCCGCCCAGGCTACTCAGCCTCTCGCCTTCTGTCCGGATTTTGGTTTTAAAGGTGTTCGTTGACTTTCAACCTGAAAGCTTTCTCTCTCGAGTGCCAAACACGTGAGGCTCGCAAACAAAGCCAGGATAGCCGTCAAGCGGAATGGGAGTTGAGAACGTTGCACAATCAAAACAACCACCCGTGTGCCGCAATCAGGTGCTCCGTAGAAGGACGGACGAAGCGGTTGCACATTGGATAGAAGCAGCAGCCGCATGCGTTGCCGTGATGCTGGTTGAGGAGCACAACGACCTCTGCACATGCAGCATACTTTTTTCTGATGTTACGGTTGAAGCCCGAGGTCCAGGGATGGACTGCTGAAACCGTCGTAGCGGACAAAAGCAGATCGATCTGAAGTAGGGGCCAGGGACGATGTACATATATATATATATATAGATAGATAGATAGACAGACGAAGACAGAAAGATGTTGCAAGACTGTCTGCGTTTTTCGTGCTCGATTTGGCTTGGCGTGCATCATCCATGCGATTTGCCATCCTCTGTTGGCCAAGCCCGGCAGTGGTAGGTTTGCAACCCACTGCTAGTGACGAGCGGCGCGCGTGGTGTCGCAACTCTGTCAGAATGAAGCAATGTCCCTTCCGATCTTGCTGGGCCATGATCGGGCAGTGCACTTAGATTCGGACGCTTCTGTTCGGTTTGCAGACCTACAGCTTGGTTCCTTGACTTGCAGGTTGTTTTTTTTGCCGATGGCTGCTACAATGAAGGTGCTGCAGGCAGGGATCGACATGTGTTGTCGCTTGTCGGTGTGTTCCTGCTGCATGAAACTCTCGTGCCGCGGTACTGCACATGTTTGATGGAATATGCAGCGACCTTATTGTGTCCGACTTTCGACAGGAGTCGAAAAGCTCCACCGTGAAGGTGTCACAGCACGCGCGTGCGAAACATGAGGTGGATTCCTCCATTGGGAGCAGTGTGCAGAGCGCTCTGGTCACTCGTTCCTCCAGAGCCACGCGCGAGCTGAGCAACACCTCCCGAGATCAAGATCTCGGTGAATCGCTCGATGCCGTAGTGTCTGGGAAGTTCTTCAATGACGTCCCTCGGAGTGTGAACCAGACCATGACAAGCTGAGTTCCCAGCAGAACTGGACTGCAGTTGACAAGGCGCATGTCGACAGACACCGCATGAGGGTTGTTTGCATGAGTCAGACTGCGGCATCGTGACAGAGAACACGCCAGGTGTCAAAAGATTGGCTTGGGGAATTCTGAAAACACCACAACCCTTAAGACAGGCCAATACGACAGATGTTGGCACCCACAGCCAGCTGCAGCCGAGGTCGGAAATGCTTTCAAAACTGCTGCGGCAGCAATACAGAATGCAGGCATCTTGGTCGCATGGGGGTCTCGAGCCGTCAGTAGGAACGTGTGGAGCATGCTCAGGCGAAGACACCGGGACCCTGGCGGGCAATGCGCTCATGGTGGTCGGGAACCGTGTGATCGAGTCAGCAGCGCAGGTGGCCGAGGGCGATCTCCTGGCAGCCGCGGAGAGCATAGGCAGTGCAGCGGTCGTCGTCGGGCGGACGGCGGTAACAGGGCTCTTGTTCAGGAACTTAGTTTAGCTACCATATACTGTTTATAGTTTCTGGTAGATCCCTGTTTTGGTAGCTTCAACAAAACGACGCCCCAGGAAAGGGTCGGCCAATTCGCCGGCGATTTGACAATGCAGCTCACAGGGATTGCCTTGGCTACTGTGAAGCGATCCGTGGAAGACACTCGCCAAAAATCCGAACATCCTGAGAATAGCAATAGTGGTAGTAATCATAATGAATAACAGTCATACTGATAGCAGTAGTAGTACTATGGATGGAGGGAAGCTTGCGCTTTTAGGATAAGAGAAGGAGCTTCTCCCCGCGCCCCCGCCTTAACATTGCTATGAACACGTGGCTTTGTAAATTCGGTCCAATGACATAAATCTGCACCGCCCCGTAATGTCAGTCGTCAATGCTAACAGGGGGGTGCGGGGTTGCTGTGTGGAGGCATACCCGAATCAACATATGCAGGTAGTGCAAGATTTCCTCCATCCACCGACGGGCAGTAACGCTTTTGCATTTTTTGCACTCCCACACGCGCCTGTCTCACGTCCAGCAACTGCAAACAGACAACGCGTACCCAACCTTTATATAGGGTGCCTGCGCCTAGGATACACAACGTGGCAATTCACTCCATCTTCAGCCGCGGCTGTTCTGGACATCCAAATGCTGAAAACCTTGTTTTTTCTCTGGAAATGACGGTCAACACTCAGTCAACGCTCAGTCGATGCCAGTCAACACTACAGTCAACACTGCAAAAATGCTGGAAAAGCTAGCATTTTGAATGTTGTTGTTCTGGCCATTCAAAAGCCAAAGAAGATATATTCTTCTTCAAAACTGAGTGAATTGTGGAATATGCTGGTTTTCCTTGGGTTTTGGTAGCGTTGACCGCTAACTTGGGAGCGCAAAACTGCACCCGAGCAAATTTAACGCCGTTAAGACCGATAACATTCAGAAGACATGGCTACTGCTCGCAAAACATACCCGGCAACAGCACTCGCTGAAGGGGATGTGGATGGAGGAAAGATTGCACTCTTAGGATAAGAGAAGGAGCTTCTCCCCGCGCCCCGGCCTTAACATTGCTATGAACACGAGGCTTTGCAAATTCGGTCCAATGACATAAATCTTGCACCGCCCCGTAATGTCAGTCGTCAATGCTAACAGGGGGGTGCGGTTGCTGCGTGGAGGCGTGCCCCAAGCAACATATGCGGGTGGTGCAAGATTTTCTCTATCCACCGTAGCAACAGCAGTCAGTAATGCAACAACAGAACTAGTTAAAGTAATAACGGTAGCAACAGTAATGATGATGACTATGATCGTACAGATTGCAACAAGAATAATCACAATGATAATCATACTCATAGTCACAATTTAGGAACAAGACAAGGAACAAACTCGCGGAATCTGAGAAGTGACACTGGTTTACCGGTACCCTCAGCACTTTTTGCAGCACCCTGTCGAGTTGTTACGGTGTCAGGAGGGGGCCAAGCTCGCAACGGCAGTGGGCAACTTCATTGCAGACCAAGCAACCGCAATCGGAAACGAGGTGGCCAAAGTGGGACCCTTGGTCGCGGGCCTAGCTGAAGACACTTGGAATGAAATGAAACAATTCCTGGACTGCTTAAAGCCATCCCTGTCACTCTGCGCAATTCTCATTGGCCGGCACTGTGACTGTGGAGCTGGCAGCTATGTCGAGGTAGAGTCCGATAGGCTGGAGATGAGATGTGTGTTTCTGAAAGTATCCGAGTTTACGAACGGCTTCGGGATCAAAGCCCAAGCCAGTCAAGACATCAATGGCAACTCAGAGTCTGGGACTGCGATACTTCCCGGAGAGGAGTATGAGCAGGCCTACGAGATGCTAGGCCAGGCATTGAAATCCCGCGACGAGGCCCTGAACGAGTTGGAGAGCCCTGCACCCGCCGGCTCTTGCGAAACGAGTCTCCATTTGGCCGTCGACGGGGTCGCTCAATTCGGCCCTGACATCAAAGCGACTGTCCACAGCAACGGCAACACCCACTTCGAAATCAAGGGATTGGTGCGTGCATCGGTCGACACAATAGTGACCGCAGAGGGCAGCTGCGGGTTCTTCGCTGAAAGAAGTTTCCCAAGACAGCCCAAAACGCAAGTCTTCTGCGCCGGAAAGTTCTGCATCATCATTGCCTTACAGATGATTGCCCAGTTGGAGATACAGGGTGTCCTGACAGGAACAGTGGAAATGTCACATGATGTCGATTTCGAAATTTATGCCACCGTGGACGTCACAAAGGGGGGCCATTCAGAAGTACATGTGACGAGCCCAAAAATCGAGTTCAAGGCTCCGTGTGCGAAGGGTTCAGGGCTCAATTCACACGGAAGTCGCGTGTGTTGCAGAACAGCGAAGCGATCGCGGCCAGTGCTACTGCTTCTGTACGTGTGGGCGCCGGCCCCAAGCTGACAGCTCCGGCCTCAGCGAAAAGAAGGCCTCTTTTGAAAGTGTTCGGCCCTGACCTCAACGAGTCCTGCGGCTTGAGGTCTGGCCGATTCCAGGAGTTCCGGTGACCTTCAACCCGATGGCTCACGCCGAAGCGAAAGCTCAGGGCACTGTTGGAGTTGCTGAATCACTCTTACAGGAGTCTTCTCAACTTTCTTCTGAAGCAAACACCAGCTCGAGCATCGTCGAGGCACTGGCTTTTCCCAGCTAGCCTTGAGCCTTTTCAGCGTCTCGCATCAACAGACGCAGTGCACCAACGCAACTCCGCGAGGCCACGGCAACGACACCGAAGCTCAAGCTGTGCAATGCTGCGGCCAGGAGCCCAGTTTGGCTGAGGCGTACTCTTGCGCTTATTCCAGTGCTGCAGAAAGAAAGACAGAGGAGACAGAGAGAGTCACTGTACGGACCGAACCCATTCGCACAAAATAGTGGATGGGGTAGCTGTGCGGGGTGGGAGGACTGCTCCTGCCTCAAACCCCGAGCAAAGCAAAGAGAGTCAGAGAAAGAGAGAGAGAGAGAGAGAGAGAGACCCCCAAAGCCGACCGCTCACTTAACCAATGAGTGGTCGGGCGGGCCGAGGGCCTGTGGGTCGCTCCGCGACCCTTATGCCCGGCAGAAAGAGAGAAAAGAGACAGAGAGAGAGGGGGAGAGAGCCAGGGTAGTGACAGCCAAACGCTTGAAGCACTTCCGCCAAGACAATGCTGTGATGGAGCTCTGTTCCTTGTTTGTCATGTGCGCTGGCGTTCACCCGTGGTAGGAAGGAAGGAGGCAGAAGCCTTGCTGTCAGTCCCTTCGATATGCAATACCTTTTCATTCTGTCACTTTCTTGGGGGACGGTCGAGGTTTGCACGTGTCCAACAACTATGTCGTCGGTGATCAATATGTTTGGAAGTCTTTGCTCTCTCCCTGTATATAGTCGGCCCGGAACATGGTTACTTTCAGCCCAACGCAAACCTGAGAGAAGGTCTCCCTCTGCCCGAGAGCAGGCAAGAGCAAAGTATGAAGCTAGCGCTGAAGGCTGCATGCAGGACGCTTTGCGTTGTAGGGGGGTTTTCGTCCCACTTTCGTAGAACCGCTCTGTGTTTACCTTTGCTTTCTCGATGGCGCCGTATGTGCGCTGCTGTTTGGGCCCCGAGTGAGAGCCAAGGGAGTGAGGCTTGCCGGGGTTCGCTCCGAGGCTGGCGGTCAGTTGTAAAGGTTGTACAGCTCAGCTGAAATGGGGATTGAATTCCATGTGTCATGCCCGCAGCTCGTAGTGCTGCAAAACGACAGAATACGACAGAGAGAGAGAGAGAGAGAGAGACCCCGGTGCTGAAGAAGAGAGACCCCGGGGAGATAGCAAACCGGATCTGAAGGATGAAATTGAGGGTACTGAGCAAGACACCAAAAATGCAAGGTTGAAACATGCACATTGCATCTATGCATGAGATGACATCCCGTCGACTGTTCAGGCGGTTCGATTGTTGGCCGTTGTTTGAGTATTCTTTGTGCCTCGTGTCGGCATCAAGGATGCATGTTCAGTTTCGTGTTGGCCTGGAGGCCATCAGCATCTACACCGACTTCGGCATCACTGGCTTTGCGCTTCCGCCAGAGCTACGTGCTTATTTCTCTGACGATATTCTGAGACGTGCCATCGAGACGGCGATGGAACAGGGTGCAAGGGCGATGATCAAAATGATGGCAGGGCCATTACAGTGCCTTCCAGGTGCCAGCGAGGTTTCGGACACAATCTTGGCAGCAGCCACCAGAGCTTCTGGAGCAATAACCGCCCTGATCCCCGGACTGGGCCTGAATTTCAACTTCAAGTCCATTTCGCTCCTGGACCCATTTAAGATGTTCTGCGAGGAGGTCTGGACCTCTCCCGATCCAGGATTCGGGAAAGTTCCCTGTGCGGCAGACCTTGGGTGCAAGCACGCCGGAAGGGGGCCCCCATCTGAGTCTGAGATCGAGGTTGTGGAACCACAGCAAATCGAAGAAGAATCCGAACCTGTAGTGTCATCGACAGATTCAGCCTGCTACAACATTCCGATGGGTGATCGCTTCATTCAGATCGGCAAGTTCCGCATCGCCGACATGGATGGGGAGACCCTGGTCATCTCGCATAAGGACTTCTGCTGCTGTTACGAGATCAAACAAACTCACAAAGATTTCAGTTTTTGAACATTTTGTGTGACTGATAACAAACGCCAAATGAAGAGCTAGTACTGTCGCTGTCGGACCATGCTGCCGAAGTGAGCAAGCACAGATCTCGAGGACACCAAAAATGTGGCAGCACGGTATCTTAAGAGCGGCAATGCTCACCAAGCAGGTTCGACATTGGATCCCTGGGACCGGACCGCAGCTGAGTTTCCTTGTGCAATGCGGGCCGTCTTGCAAAGGAATCGTGTTTGGGTCAAACACATCTAGCATGTCTCTGGATGTGAGGACGGCTGGAACCGCCAAAGGCATCAAGTTTGGCTACGAGTTCATCCAAATTGGGGACTTCCGCTTTGGTGCCGTTGATGAGGATGAATTCTCTGTTGCGTGCCTAGGGTCGCATTTATGTAGCTTGCCCGGAGGTTGTGAGGGGCCCCAAACCACTCAACGTCGCGGAGTTGCACTGGCGAGTCCCAGCAGCCCACTCCTGTAGATGTACAGACTCCTGCATTGCCTTAAGGACTTTAAACTGTGGTCATTGGGATGCTGACTGTGTCTATCAACAGCAGGTCGGTTGGTTGTTGCTGAGGTTGGGCCATGCGCGACCAAGAAAATCTCAAACGTCTGTACCGGGGTTGATGCAGCCTCGTAGCTTACTGAAATCTAGCGTTATGAAAACACTTCCTTCGAGTCACCCAAACTGCTGCATGCAACACTTCTTATGCCTTTCAGAGTAGCGCTTTCACTCCGTACGGAAGCCTTCAGTGTTCCGACCTGAGTTGGGGAAAGTGACCCTGGCACCAGCGAGCTTCATCTGCGGTGCGATTCAGGGACAGTTTAAGATTTGCCCCTCAACAGAGCCGACCGATAAGTCTTCCTGCTCGTAGCTGAGATCGACGACGGGGTCTCGCACCATACAAACCGTTCGGAGGAGCGACGGGCACAACTCGATAGGGGAGTCCAGATGCACAGAGTACTTGTTTCTGGTTTTAATGCCCTTGGCGCAGCTTATATTATTTCATGTTACACTAGATTGTATCATATTATACTATAGCTTGTTATGTAATAAGGCACCCCTCTGTTTTCCCAGACGAATCAAGTGCGTCTTACGGAGCGGACAAGGCCAACACACTGGACCGTGCAGAGGGGCCAGCAACAGGCATCACTTCTGGCGACAAGCATCTCGGCTGTTTTCACAAGATCTCTGGCAGCTCCTTTAAGGGGTTTTACGACTCCTTTCTGGGCTCCTTAAAAGGTTTTCTTGGGATTCCTTTAAGGGTTCCTTTCGGTGGGCGTTAGGATGCCTTTAAGGCACCCCGACCTCCAAACCCCCGCCCTGAAAGAAGCATGGTCAGAGCAGGAGAAAGGTTTCGCCCAAGGGTTTATGGTTTCAGGGTTTAGGGCTAAGTAGACACATTGGGCCCTAGTCTGGGACCAAGTCCAGTCTGGTTATGCTTCTAACCTCTAAGATGCTCTACGCCTCTAAGCTCTAAACCCTGAACCCTACTGCCCCTAAGCTACAAAGCCTAAACCATAAAGCCTTCTAAGTTGTTGTAGAATTTCAGGGCAAGCGTGGGCAGGAGCTAGTGTCAGCAAGGGTAGTTCAGGGTTAAGGCAGTTCAGGAGTTCAGGCGGTTTAGGTTAGAGGTTTGAGGGGTTTAAGGATTCGGGGCTTGTGAAGTTCCTTGTCGGATCGGAACAGGGAAAAAGCTCGGAATAAGGTGGCAGACTCTTGAGGGAATCGCGACGGAACAGGTCGGAATTGCTGGGGTGTTTCCGATTTCAGGGTTTTTAGGGTCTTGGGGCGCTAGGTCTGTTGGAGGCTTCCGTGGAGGTTCTACAAGCGCTCTATGGTTCCATAGGGTTCTATACTCTATACTATGCTTTCAAGAGCAAGAAACTGGCTTGGCAAGCAGAGCCGAGGTTTCTGCAGATAGGCAAGTTCCGATTTGTGGAGGATGGTGGTGACAAGCTGCTGCTGTTCTGGATGGGGGCAACGCCGCCGAAGGCGCTACAAAGATTTAACTCAGACGGCACCGTAAATTGGCACAGCACTGGAGCCCCGGCTATTAGTGGTGCTGTCATGCCAGATCGAGCCTCGAACCCGTCGAAATGCAGAGACGTTGCAGAGATGGCGCATGGCCTTTGCCGTAAATCCTTTGGAACCTGGGGTGATCGCTTTATCCAGTTGGGCAAATGGCGCCTGGCAGCTCTTGATGACGATTCCTTCGTCTTTGCCCACGACATCACGGAGAACGTTGTTTTCACCAGGGATGGCAGGAAATTCTGGGGGTACAGCAACGAAGTTTGGCGAAGGTTGCCGGGCTTTCCCTACGGCATTACCTTCGGGCCCGACCTCATCCAGATTGGCAACTGGCGCCTGTATGCTGACGACGACGAGCACCTCAGCCTGTCGCACGCGAGGCAAGGCAAGTACTGGCTCTTCAAGCGCGGCGGGACAGTCGAACGTGGGGAGAACAGCAATGCCTGGAACGGGTGGAAAGGTACCCGCTCCGCATCCGCCGGACCTGCAGCGGGCGTCGGCTACGGCGATCAGTTTCTGCAGATTAGAAACTTCCGCATCGGGGCTGCAGATGGTGGGCACCGTCTCCTTGTAACCCACATTGGTACCGACGACACCATCGAGGGCTACACTGATTTGGGCGAGACAGAGGCCGACGTTCTTCAGACCTACACGGACGACGTCAACGATCGAATTGCTCAATGGCACTGTGGGGGCATTCAGACCATCCTTCACTCTTGTCCTGGAATCACTACAGGTGGCGGGCAGCCGTTCCGTGCAGGGGGTCCCCTTAATGACTCTGCTCTGTCAGGTGCATTCAGGTGCGGAAGGTGCATGTGTTTCGGTTGCGCCCTGAGGTGACAGATTCCTACAGTTGGGTGACTGGCGGATTGCGGCCATGGACTCGGACCACCTGTCTGTGTCGCACCGTGAAGGCAAGACCGCCCAGGTCTTCAAGTCCGATGGCTCGATCCTCACCGGATCCAGAACCACGCACAACAGTTGGCAGCGTGAGGCCAAGGAAATGCCAGCATACGACTATTACAAGCAAGTCAAGTTCGGTAATCGCTTCATAGAGTTGGGCGACTTCCGAATCGGTGAGATAGACAACAAACTCTCCGTTTCCCACAGAAACCGCCAATCTATACGGGTCTTTCAAAGTGACGGCACCTTGCTCCCCACAAGTACCAGCAGCTACGGCTTGTGGGGCCTTCCTGTTGGCCCGCCAATTGGTGTGACCTTCGGCGATCGCTTCGTGCAGATCGGCCAGTTTCGCCTCGGAGACGTGGATGGAACGCACTTCTCTGTGGCGCATGTGCAGCGCACACTACAGGTCTACAAGTCAGACGGGAACCTTGAGACGGACATCGGGACTGACAACAATACGCACACCACTGCCCGTCGCTCGCTTTTGGAGTGCAGGGTGGTCCCTGAGACGCCGCGGCCCTTTAAGATTGGCTCCACCGTCGTCATCTACAGTGAACGGGGGGGCGGATTTCTGCTGCAGATGTGTCCCAGCTGCACGGTCTTACTGAAAGCGCTTCGACCTCGCAGTTAGTGTCAGTATCATGAAGGACGTAACCACCATGTCAGATTTGCAGCACTTCGGAGCGTCAGAATCTATGAGCACCTGCCGAGGAACCCGCACAATGGGGCAATAGGTGCCAAAGACGTGTCGATTCACCGGGGCAGCGAGATAGCGATCAACTGGCGATGGGAGCGCTTCACCATCGTGGATGCCGGCGACGGCAAGATTGCGCTTCACAACATCGCGAGCAATCGCTTCTTGAAGATGCACGACACGATGACGAGAAGTCCCGAGAAGGCTCGGATCTCCCGAGCTCGTAGCTCCCAAAACAAGAACAGACATACATATGTTACATTCATATACATGTATGTATATATATATATCGCTTCGCTTGGCACTGAGAGGTAAGTTCGCGGCCTAATTAAATGCAGGGACACAGGCCAATCATCAAGAAAGGCCGGGCAAAGGCCGTGGCCCAGAAAGCAGGAGGAGCTATGACCTGTACTGCCTCCCCAGCGAGTGTTCGCTGCCATGCTTCCTGGATCTGCGACGGCACAAAAATAGCTGTGAGCTCATCCACGGCTGCACCATACAGCTTGTATTCAGCGCCTATCGTCTGTGCAGCTTCCCAGACAGTCAGGCAAATATATACAGGCTGCGACGGGGTCACGTGGAGCACTCTCAGATCACGTAGGACTTCGCCCCAGTCGATGGCATCGACTTTCGCCCGGAATCCGGAGGGGACGAGCTTGTTGCCATCGTCCTTGACACATCCCTTAGCATCACCCGGGATCGTCAGGTAGCCCTCGAGCAACTCAGTCATCACGTGTTTGAGCTCCTCCGTCATATCGAAGAGCTCGGTCTCCGCCCTCCATGCCAGTGGTAGGTCATGAACCGCCTCCCCGATGACATGCTGGATCTCCTCGGGGTACAACGGGTAGGCGTCGAGAACACACTCCGGGAAGGCCTGCTCGAGGATACTCCGTCTCCGCGCTGGAGCGTCAAGAAGTAGCTCCTCTAACTCGCGCTGGGCCCTCTCGCACTCATCTCCCTGTGCGCCTCCATATCGGTCTTCCAGACGAGGGCCGCTTTGCTGTGAGACTGCCGGGGTGTATTGGTCCTGCTCCCGGGCTCGCCAACCGCGGCTTCTGAGTCCCGGCAAGATGGAGGAAGCCCGATGTCCATGTTGGAGCATGCTCCGCACACAGCGGGGATGGTCACGTAAGTGGACCGCGAGCTTGTTGGTGGACCAATACTCCCTGCCACAACCTTTGCAGCACGTTCCTTCGACACAGGCTCTATATGCCGCGGTTCTGCCGTGGCTTTTGAACAGGTGGACACTTAGCCCTGCTCTGGTGGGGAAAAGGCGCCTGCATCTTCGACATGCCCATTTGGCATCTCCAGGGGCTTCCTTGCGTAGGGTGCGCATGGCCTGGCAGTACATGGACCACAGTCCCAACTGCCAACCGTAGGTTCGCTTCTCCTGCGCAAAGTCCTCATGGGCTTTTTTCGTTAGCCGGCGTTTGAAACGCCCTGGCGACTGACGTAGTTGCCTCCACCACTCTGGCCAAGCAGCTCCATGTACTGCCGGCCACTCCGAACGGTCGGTATCGACCAGCCACTGTAGGTCCGCACATATCTGAGCACACCATTGGCCTTCAGCTTGAAGAACAGCCCACAGGCAAGGCGGGCCGTGATTCGCCAGTGACAGCAGGAAACTCAACCTGGATTTCCTCGCGTACTGGTAGAGCGGCGGGCTGTCGACCAGCAGATGTATGAGAGGGTCCGGAATTCGGAAAAGTTCCTTATCCTTGAAGGAGGGAGCCAACATCCGTCTCAGCAGACTGGTGTAGCCAGTCTCGATTTTAGCCCAGGCAGGTCCAGTGGGCAGCCACAGGGCGATGTTGAAGAAAGTGGGGCGTACAGCAGCTTCGAAGGTACGGGCTCTCGCTGGCAGGTCGATGGTCCTGTTGCCAAGCAGGATTCGCCGACCATCCTCGTAGGCCGCCCCAGCTATCGCTAGTCGCCTTCTGGCCTCCAGAGCGGGGCAACCATGGTGCTCTATGGCTCCTCCCAGGTGAACATAAGATGGGACCACCTCCACGTGCACGTCCAAGTCGGCAAGGTAGAGCCTGGATTCCCCATTCGGGAAAAAGCGAGCTCTCGCCGCCCTGACTCCTCGACCTACCAAGTGGATGAGGAGAGAGGTCTTGCCCCTCTTCATGTTGGGCTGCATCCCCATGCCCTGAAGGTGTGATATCACCAAAGAGGAGAGGCGTGATGCCTTGCGGAGGAGGAGTAGTGGGTCCCCGTCGGACACTGGCCAGGCACTGTCGTCTGCCCAAGTGCTGTCTTGCACGAGGACGTCGTAGCCGTTGGCTCCGCTGCCAAAGGGCCCGATCTCCTCGTCGTACGGGTGGCTCTCCAGCAAGCCCTCGGCATTCGCCACCTCTGATACCTGTTGTAGTATCCGCTCGTAAATGAAGCCGAATACCACGTCGGCGAAACTTTCGCCCGGACGTGAGCCAGCCCGGGTGACACAGACCCGTCTTCCATCTCCATGCTGTGTCGAGAACCAGGCCACATTATGCAAATCCTTGATAACATGCCTGACAGCCGGGGGAACGCCACAGTCCGCCAGCACGCCCCCGGTTTCGATCTCGGCATGCAGGGTATGGTAGTCCTCGACTGGGAGGCCAAAGTGGGCAAACAGCTTCGCAATGGCGATATCGTCCGTGATCTTGCCCATGCATATTTCCCTACATACTCGGTAGTAGGCTTGCTTCGAGTCAAGAAACAGCGTGGCCGTCGATCGCCTCCTCGCCATATGCAGTCGCATGTGGGCCATGATCTGCATCGCAGCGAATGTCACCGGAGCTCCACGTTTGGAGCCAAGGTGCATCGGGTGAACAGCCGATGCAACAATGGGTCCGATCTTCTTCTTGTAGACCTTGTGCATGCACTTGCCGAAGATGTTGGACACGAATAAAGACCTATATGACTCTGCGGAGTGTGTGTCGCCTTGCCTCTTGTAGCATTCGAAGAGGTATCCTCCTCGCCAATGGAAAGGTTGATGTAACCTCATCGCTGCTTCGGCCATCAAAGCGTGAGTCGCGACAGCCATTGCTGCCGGGGCAGCTCTGATCAGTTCCCCCGGAACTGAATCGGGGCCGGCCGCTTTGTGCCGCGGTGCGGCCCTGTACACCTCTTCCAGTTCCAAGACAGAAGGCAGGCAATCGAGTGTCCAATGTAGACCTTCATCGGCCACAATGGGCGGGTGTGGCCGGCGCAGAAGGGCTGGGAGCTCGACGATTGTCCCCCATTCTTGGTCACCAAAGTGTTGTAGCCAAATGGCATCATGATCTTCCCTCGTTGCAGCAGGCCTTCCCTGGGCATCGAGGAGGGCAGGTAGTTGTCGCTGGGTGGTAGTCCGTGAGGACTTGCCCAAACCGGCCTTCTTGACATTGGAGAGGAAGTGATTGGCCCCTGTAGGGGGCGAGTATCCATGGGCAACATCTCGTAGAAAGGCACTTTTGCCTTCGCGGATGGCCCGCTTGGCCCGGTAGGTGACAACCTTGACCGCTGCAGAGTAGATGCCGTAGAGGACATGATGATACATGATGTTTGTGTGCAAGCCACTCAAAGATCCAGCCTCCCTTCTCAGCCCTCCAACATGCGAGGGCGACGCGAAGTAGTAGTCCTCGTCCTTCGCGGTGGTGGCGGGTCGTCTCCTTGAATCGTAGCTTGGCTGCTCTTTTCTCCCATATCCACGAGGGCACGAAGGAGGCTCGAGGGGCGTCGCCGGGCTTCGCGAAGTGCTGCTCCAGCATGGCATGGATGTGATCCAAAAGGTGCTGGTAGTGCAGGTCAGGGTGGACATTCCACTCGGGCGGGGCATACAGACGCATGCTTTCAGCAATGAGTTTTCGGCCCTCGCTCGTGGCCATCTTTTCTCTGTCATACCTCGCACGCCTGAGTCGTCGTCGACCACCGCGCTTCCACTCGCCATCAAGCTGGACCAGAACTGGGTGGTGGTCCTCATTCGGGTTGAGGGTGTCGAACTGATAGCCGACCTCGCTCCTCAGTCTGGTTGGCTCAGTCCGTCCTCCCAGCAGGATGTAGTCTAATCGATGGGCGCCACCGCCTGGGTGGCGGTACGTATAGCTATCACCCTGGTGCAGCTCCCTGAACGTTGAGGGGGCCCATAGACCCACGGTCTCACAGACCCTGGTGATCCGCTCCCCAAGGTCGTCCGGCTCTCCGTAGCGCAGCCCCCCTGTGACGGTAGTCCGGTCGGGCGGTAGGCGGCAGTTTAAGTCCGCACCAACTATAATCAGTTGTGCATGGCGAAGTTGCGATAGCTGCCGTTCAAGCTCTTGTAAAAAGCCCTCTGCCTCCTCCTTCCTTGCCGAGTGTGGGCAATGGGCAGAGACCAGGGCAATACTTCCATCTGCGACCGCAATCTCGATGACAAGTAGCCGCTCCGTCTCGACCTTGACCTGCACGTCCGTTGTGCCTGCCACCAGAGGCTTGCCGTCAAGGGTCATGACACCTCTGGTCCGGCTGACCCAGATGCTAACACCCCAATGCCGCAAGCCCTCAGTAGTGAGCCTGATATAGCGCTTGGATCTGCAGCAGGATGCGGGTTGCTTGACTTCCTGCAGCATGCAAATGTTGCACTGGAGCTCGTCCAGTTGCTGCTCGTAGAAGGGGTGCTTTTGCTGCATGCCTTGTGCATTCAGGGAGAGAACCTTGATGGAGAACCTGGCAGGATCAGCAGCATGTCCCCATTCCTCAGATATCACTGGGAGAACCTGTTCCGGTCGAAGCGGGGCCGTATTGGTCTCCTCCCAAGTGGGACTCCACACCAAAGCACCTGCAGAGATCGGTAAGCTGCGGTGACGATGGGCATGGAGGGTCGCCGCAGTCCAGCTCAGGTCAGCCTCAAGGAAGGCCTGGCATGCTGCTGCAGAAGGGGGGGCGGCATGACAGCAATTGTTTGCTCCCTGCTTTGCGATCACATCCGCCAGCTCGTTCCAGGCCTCCCCGGTGTGTGCTGGGACGTGGGTCAGGTGTATGCCTTCCGGGATGTAGTGCCGGGCTACCAACTCAAGGAGGTGGACTCTTTCAGCGAAAGGGTCGGTAGGACTCCAATCGCCTGTCGCCGCCCATCCCGCAGCATAACAATCAAAATGGCAGTGGTACCTGAGCCCCGGGAGAACTACATTGAATTGCAAACTCCATAGGACTGCCACTGCTAGAGCTACTTGCTCTGCTCGAAGGGCGCCAGGGCCTTCCGTGGGCCAGTGCGGCCCCTGTGGGTCATGGAGGCTGCCCCCAAGTAGACCGATTAGCGCACAACAAGCACCAACCTGAAGTAGGATCGCCACTCCGAAGCCGAGCTTCTTCTGTGAGCTGCCCGCCGATACGTCTGTGTAGAGATGGAGGGCAGCGTCTTTTGCCTCGGGGAGCTGGGGCAGGAGAGCCGTCCAGGGTGATAACTCGTTCACCGCCCTGGCTGTCTCTTCCTTCAGGTCATAAACTGCCCAGAGGGGCGGCCATGGCATGAGGATCTCCCCGATCTGTGCAGTGACGTCCGGGAGCGGTACCTGGTGGGCCATGAGGTCATAACTGGGCGGGTTGACGAGGTCGGCGAGGTTGAGCCGTGGTATATCCGTTCCCTCGGCATCGGCGCCATCTGGCTGGCCACTTCTTTCTCCAGCCCCAGCAGTCCGAAGGGGCTGCCCTGTCGATTCTGCAGCTCTTCTCCTCGGGGAACGGCTGCGGTTGACCGGTTGGGGTGGTGGTGGACCCGACCGGTTTGCCAGATCAGGGGACGGTGTAGTGAGGTCGCTGGAGTCCGGGAGGGCATCTCTGGGGGTAGAGCTCTCATCCCCATCCATGTCATGGTCCTCGTCAGTCGAGTCTCCATCCGCCGGTGAAGTTGAGGACCGATGCGGGGAAGGTGTGAGCTCCGCCTCCTCCTTGAGGAAAAAGTTCAGGACTTCGCAGTGGGCGACCTTGCGGATTTCGGGGTCTCCGGTCAATTCGCCACCTTCGACAATGACAGTCCACCCGTCAACCTTCGGCGCCGCGATGCCCTCTAGGTATTCCGCAGAGTTGAAGAAAGGCCCGGGTTATAGGACCCACTGTGGGAAGAAGCCCAATCCGCGGAGGTCGAGAAAGAGGACCGTAGCCTCAGGGTCATCTTGCTGAGTGCTGGCAGGGCCCGGGTTGACAGCGATCTGTGTTTGTAGGCAACGTCCGGCGTGGGTGAGCGAAGCGATTGGCGGCCTAGGCTGAGCAATCCAGCAGTGCCCTTGCCGGAAGCCCATCAGCTGCTCGGCGAGGGCCTCTCTGTGCATGTCGGCCCCAGGGATGTCGTAGTACACCAGTTGGCTCTCCGGACCCTGGTATACCACATAGGGGTCCTGGTTGTCCCCTGGAAGCCCAAGACGCGGGTTCCAGAGAGTCGGGTCTGTGAGCCTTGCCTCGAGAGGTCCCTCCCAATGACAGGGCTGGTCTTTGTACACCGCCTGCACAACTCCTCCTTGGATGGGTTGCCGGGTGCCAGTTTCTAATATGGTCCGCTCGCCGAAGACATAGATGTCCACATGGGGCTCGTCATCCTCCGGCACCTGTGCGAGCATGGATGCCTTCGTGACCGGCCCCTCGTGGTAGAAGGGAAAAATTTCTCCTCCTATCATTCTGTTGTCCATGACTAGGACATGTTTCCCCACCGCCGGGATCCACGATGGGATGGCAACGAAACTCCCGTGTAGCTGGGCGATCTGAGGCGTCGTGGGGATCACCGTTTCTGCCCATTCTGGCATGTGGGTGCTGGTATCTTTGATGGCATCGCACAGCCTTCGTATTGACAAAGGAAAAGACATTCCCAGGTCAATCGCTTCAACCTCGTAGAAGGGCGACGCCAGCCAGGCAGATATGTGTACCGCCCTTATCTCATCCTCGGCAATGGTGTGCTCGACATGGTGCACCGTCTCAGCCGGGATGTGGTAGGTTGGGGGAGGTGCTTCACCTTCAGAGTGTTGGAGCGGCCTGGTGAGGACCATGTTTTGCTCTGCCTTCGCAAGTTGCTCACGGGCTGTCAGCTGCCCGGACATCCAAAGTTCTATATCTGTTTGCCGGGGCGGTGGTGGGCCGATCCAGATAGTTGCAGTGTCTATTGTGCCTGAACCGCAACTCGGAGCAGCTTGTGTAGTCCGCACAGCCCGGGCCGTCGTGAGGACACAGAAAGCTAGTACCAGCCTCGGTTGTCCTCCCAAAGCAAGCGTCCTCACTCGACGATGTAGAGGGCGCCGTCCTCTCATGCCCAAGGTTAACACGGAGAGGAGGGAAACAAACTGGATCATATAGAGACCGGCACACCAGCCAGCAGCCACTGTTGAAAGACGCTGCATCTGTGTTCCACACCACAGGAGGAGTGCCTGAAGGAAGATGCCCCCAACATCGAAGACATCATAGTAGCGCCAGGATGTGTCCCATATTGGAGTGCTCTCAGTCATCCTTCTCACCTGCCTGTGCTCATCCCACATCTGGTCGTGGCCTCCCGGAGGGCCGTGCCAGGATTTTGCTTGGCCATCTTCTGTCCCACCTGGTAGCTCAGGAAACCCGCTGCCAGGTAGAGGAGGAGCTGGTACTTCAGGGACCTCAGGGCCGCCAGGAGCGATATCGTCTTGACCTCCAAGAACAACATCACCCATGTTGCCCCCTTGCCGACGGGCTGCGGACACACCGAAAAAGCCGTACACCCGCCGGTCCTGAGTACTCATAATCGAGGGAAAGCTGGGCTTGGTCAATGCCAAGCCGCCCATCCTCCATTCCAGGGCCCTTTTCCTGTCGAGCGGGCCTACTATACTCCTCTGGAAGCCCAGCCTCGTGACGTGGGGCTGCTCCCAAGCCACCGACCATGTCGTCCTCGTCTGAGGAGATGTCCAGCTCTCCCGCCAGCTCCGCTTCTCGTCTGGCCTCGAGTTTCTCCGCCAGCCCGGTGCCAGCGACCACTGGTTTGGCCGGCTGTCTCCCAATCTGCTTGATCGGGATCCGAGTAGAAGTGCGCGATCGAGTCCGTATTGTCGCTTCCGGCTTCGGGAGCTCGCTGGGCCTGGATGGCGAAGACACATAGGGGTTCTCCTTGTTCGATGTCTCCGCTGCCACACTGTACGAAGGTGGGGCTGCATCCATTGCTGCCTCTTTCTTGGCGGTCTTCGTAGCATCCAGAGGCGTGGACGGTTCCACGGGCTTGGATCGACGGGGGGGAGTGCTAGGCCCTTTGCGGTGCTCTCCTATTGCCCCCAGCAGCTGGTTCCACAACTTCGCTCTGTCGCCACCACCGGACTGGATCGCTCCAGCAATCACATCCGCGAGTCCATGACGGGGCCTCTTCTCGGGCGACTTTAGGAGCTCGTCTAGCTCGGCCAGGGCCTCGGGATCCGCAGGTGGCATGGGTGCTGGCTTTGGCCGGTTCAAGGACTGTGGCTCCGCGAAGGCCGTCTGCAGCTCCAGCAGGGCATCTTCCTGAGCCTTCTCGGCTTCCTCCAGGTCGGTCCTGATCTTCTGGAGCTTCTCTTGGTACTTGGCCCTCTCCTTCACGTAGGTGTCCTGCAGCTTTTGTTTGTAGTTGACCCACTTCTGCTGCAACTCCTCGCTCTCCTCGTCGAGTCGGCGAGCCTTGCCTTCTGCCTTTCTGAGGCCGTTGAGTAGCTTCTGCACTCCTTTGACCACCATGCCATTGGTCGGGGCCTCCTCGTCGATGTCCATGTCCGTCTTGGTCCGCTGTGCCACCCGCGAGCTGGGGCCCGGGACCTCGGCAGTCATCGTCTCGAAGGAGGGGAAGAGATCTCGGCGGGAGTCCGCCATAGGCCGACGTGGCTCGTCGGATCCCTTCGGGGATTGTTTCCCCTTGTTCTTGCCACCCTGGCGACTCCACCCATTGTGAGCTGTGGATCCACCAGACGAGCGCCAGGCTCGCCACTCTTCGTCCGACCATTGCCCTCGTTTGCCCATAGAGTATCTGGGCGCACTGTGGTGTGCCTCCAGCAGACGGACAGCTTGGAGGGGAGGAGGTCGTCCTGCAAGGCGGCAGGCTCGGATTTTTCGGCGAGCAGCCGATCGATGCAGGCGTGCTCGGCGGTGCCAGCACGGTGATCGCGGAATGGCCGTCGTGCACAAAGCACTGGGGCTGTGGGCTATGCTGACCTCCTACCGGGCCGCTCAATCCCAAACCCTCTATATATATATATATATATATATATATATATATATTCATATATATGCACGTACATATGTATATCTATGTACACATGTATAGAGTAATAGCATTCATAGTAGTAAGCAGTATCATCATATTGAAGATGATATTGGTCTTAGCAATGATTACTATGACAACTACTTTGAAGAGCAGGAGGAGAATGGAATCATAGGAGGAAAAGACTAATTAGAACAATCATTGAATTTAAACCATTGGGATTCTCTGCGGGATGCCCTGCCAGGCGCAGAACGCCTTTCCCGTTCATCATTGGGACCAGGAGACTTTCCAGGTCGTCGATGCGGGAGAAGGAAGGGTCGCGTTCTTCAACCCCAGACACAAAAGATTCGTCAACATGAACTCCGACGGGGTCGTGGGACGCAGTGAGGAAAGGCCGAAAGGAGACTTGAAGACACATTGGGCTTGGGAGAGATTCTTCCTTGTGCCTGCGAGACCCTGGCTCGAGCCGGGTGCCTTGGTGGCCTTTTACAACACACAAGCCAAGAAATTCCTCCGCTTGACCCTCGGTCGAACTTAAGAATGTTTGGGCAACCTGCAATAACCAAAGGTTTGATGACCCTTGAGAGTTGCGAGGCATGGCTCAATCGTCGATGCCAGCCCGAATTCCACCGAAACCCTGAACAAGCATTGGGTGGGAGAGGTCTTCCGGGTGGTGGACGCTGGATATGGCATGTTTGGGCTGCACTCGCGTGGTCATGGCAAGTATGTGAGGATGCATGAGACCGGGATGGATGCCAGTGGGAGAGCCGATGCTCAGCTCATTTTTCCATCACGTTCCGCTGGTTGCTCATGACACGGCGGCTCGTTTCTGCTGTTGTTTTCCCTCCTTTAGACAATGCTCAGGACAGCATCGCACTTCCTTCAGGGTGGTGGAAGGAAGCCTTTGTCGCATATCCTATAGACCCCCTGCAAGACACGCTCGCTTTGTGGCAACCGGATTTCAAGCGCCCCTGGTCCGGCAAGGGGAGTCTTTTCTGTCTGGTCAGGCTTCTAAAGAAACAGTATTTGTGATTTGTGATGAGTCATCGCGATACTAACAAGGGAATCATGTAACAATCATCGTAATTGCAATGCACAAATGATAACACTGCAACAACGCAACAACAACAACAACAACAACAACAACAACAACAACAACAGCTAGGGAGGCGTTGCATCTGCCGCCGCACCAAGGGGGTTGTTTGTGGTTTGAAAATTTTTTTGGTCAAAGGCTAGAAAACCCAGAGTTTTGCGTGGTTATCGTCAACAAGACGATGTATCGGACTTTAAGTTTTCTATAGCAACAAGAAAGAGCAATAACGAATTGACAGAGCAACTGGTAGCGTTTGAAGTAACGCAACCAAACAAACAGAAGACACAAGCCGCACTCGCATGGACGTCATCACCCCCGCCCCCCCTCCCCCATCCTCCCCCACCCCCGCACAGAGCTGAACGACAAAAAGCAAGTTTAAGTTGGCATGTACACAAAGTCGAGAATCGGCAAAAACACCGCAAAAACCAACGCGAAATACGACACATATCAAACAACAAGAGAAACAGAAGACACAAGCCGCGTTCGCATGGACGTCATCAACCCCCCCATCCCCCCACAAACCCCGCACAGAGCTGAAAGACAAATGCAACTCCAAGCCGGCATGTGCAGAAAGTCGAGAGTCGGCAAAAACACTGCAAAAACGATGCGAGATGCCACACACACAGGACAACACCGAAAAAGTCGAGGCGAAATGCAGAGCTGAACATGTTTTTGCACAGCGCAGCCCATCGGCTGGGTCACTCTTTGCTAGAAAACACCGCAAAAACCGATGCGAAAGCAAAAGCAATGTTCAATGTCGGGCGAAGAAAGTGCCAAAACTCGAGTTTCAGCACATGCCAGTAAAGGAACTGCACCACCCCGCGCAGCGGCAGACGCAACACCTATCAACAACAACAACAACAACAACAACAACAACAACTACTACTACTACCACCACTACTGCTACTGCTACTGCTAATTACTGCTACTGCTACTGCTACTACTGCTACTACTAGGGTTGCGCGCCTCCTGGCGCCTGGTAGTTTTCAGTCGTTCGAGGGTGCAGAAATGCTGGTTTTTCAGAGTCTTGAAACATTGTAGTTAAGCCAAGTGCAAAAAACTAATTACTTGGGCTTATGATGACGGTGATAAGGATGGTGATTATGACTATGAGGATGATGATGAAGATGGTCAGGTTAACGATGATGTTGAAGATGGCGAGGATGATGGTTCTGAAGATGATGATGATGATGAAGATGGTCAGGTTAACGCTCATGTCACTGCCTTTTCATGCCCAAAACACTGGTATTTTACAGCAATCTTTGCTCTTTGTACAACATGCTGCACAAGGATGTGGAGCAAGACACGTTGTCACAAGCATCCTAGTACTGCTACTGCTACCGGCGCTACTGCGTTACTGCTTGCGGTCAACCATGTCGTTATTAGCCCCCCCCCCCCCCACCCCAACACCCCTCCCCCCGCCCCGGCATCCTAGCAAAACGCAAAAAACTCAGAAAAACAGAGGTTAACACCAGGTGCCTGGGGGCGCGCATGGCTACTGCCACTACCACTATCACCACTACTACGACGACAACGACGACGACTACTACTACTACTACTACTACCTTTACAGTACTCGGTACTTGTACTAGTGCCACCACGACTACGACTACGACTCCAACTCCGACTCCGACTCCGACTTCGACTCCTACTACTACTACTGCTACTACTACTACTACTACTACTACGACTACGACTGCTACTATTACTTCTGCTACTACTGCTACTTCTGCTACTACTGCTACTACTGCTACTACTGCTATCACTGCTACTAATGCTACTGCTCCTGCTAAAACTACGACTACGACTATGACGACACTGACGACGACGCCTACTACCGCCACCGCCACCGCCACCGCCACCGCCACCGCCACCGCCACCGCCACCGCCACCGCCACCGCCACCCCCACCCCCACCCCCACCCCCACCCCCACCCCCAACCACCACCACCACCACCACCACCACCACCACCACCACCACCACCACCACCACCACCACCACCACCACCACCAGCACCACCACCATTGTTACTATTGACATATTACTAGTATTACAACTACAATTTCTCATTTTACTGCTATTATCCATTACATATGAACGCTGAGAATGGCAGCAACCACAACAACAATAACAACACCAACAGGAATGCTGATTTCTTGGACTGATTGGCGCTTGAACGCAGTTCAGGCTGCATCGAGATGACTTCAGAGGGCGACGTGATCCGCGGTGACGAAGTTGACGGCGAGGACCAGTCCCAGTGGAAGATTTGACTCTAAGGTTATACGGTTTAGGGTTTAGCTTAGATGATAAGGCTCCAACCACTGATGGTGCTGATGGCAGAAGTATGAATCAAAACATTTTGTCTGAGAGCGAGTCCGGCCATGTCCCGCCTCCACTTGAAGGTTTCAGAGGTCACAGCAGGCCGCAGCAAGATGTTGTTGTGCACTAAGATTCTCGAGCATGTTTTCTCCAGTCGGCAAGGCAAGCATGATTTAGGTTTTAAGTCTAGGGGTCTGTCGTTGAAACGTCAGCTGGCGCAACTTTTGATGCTGGTTCCACAGCATTCCATTCCTCGGTCGTTAGTCTTGACCTTGTCAAACCCTCAGGCCGGGCAATTGTGTGCCGCGACTCGTGACTTCGCATTGCAGTGGGACCCTGACAGATCCCTGCCGGCCATGCCGTACCGTACTGTCTAGTGCCAGATCCAAGAGAACGACACCGGACATCCAGTAGTAGACGGGCCACTCACACTTTTGTGTTCACTGGAGCATTGCAGCACACCTGAGAGCACTATTGATAACATATACCCATGGGAATGAGAGCAGGCCCCAGGTAACTCACAGAATCGTGATTCATGACACTACCCAACCGCACTCCGACAGAGGCAAAGTCCATGCAGCAAGAAATTTGTTCTTCCAGGGTCTGCGAAGGCAGGATACGAGCGTTGCCCTGCGCCGAATGCTGCTAGGCATGGTTTTGAACACGAGGTTTAGTTCCCGACATCGCCGTGCAGCGCAGAGCCGCAAGATTCGGGTTCAGGGTCTGGCGGACTCCCAGTCAACAGACAGACATGATTTAGGAATTGGACGGATAAACGCGATTCCTGACCATACACCAGGACATCACAGGCAGCTCTGAAAATTCCTTCAAGGTCATCAAGCTCTCAGACCCAAGATGGCATCAGGACGCTTGAGTCGAATAGGCTAGATGACGCAGCGACTCCCGCCGCGAACTCCTTTAAGTTTACAAGTTTAGAAGCCAGAGCGATCACGGGCATGTCTTGCCACTGTGCATAGACTCTTAACATGTGCCTGTCGGCGGCAACACTGCGAGGGACTTTGCCATTGATGCTGGCAGTTCGATGAGACAAAGACTCAGCATGGCTTTTGCCCATCTCTGCAGCCGTTCAAACGAAGCTCCAGCTAGTCGCGGGTTGTCCTGCAAGCATGCGATGGGGGTTTTGCCGCTTGCACGTCCTGGCAGTCGCATGGGCTAGCCTCTCTGCACGCATTTCGTGCAGCTTGAAGCTGTCGTCGGAACTCGATGCCAACAAGACGAAGCTTTTCACCTTCGGTTCAACGGTCGCCATCTACAGCCCGATCCAATCCAAGTATATTCAGATGTGCTTGGTCTGCAGGTGTTTTCACCAGCCCTCGTGGGATCAGAAGCGATTCAGCAGTGCCGAAAGTGCGATTAAGTGGAACCGCCCCCGGCTGCGGCAGTAGCATCCTAGAGAAGTTGTGGTTCTTGGTGGGCTCGGTCAGCATCAAGAGAAGGCATGGCCACACTTCTGTCAACATCCATCCGTCCTGTTGGCGAAGACGCCTCATGCATGTTGTAAATGTCCTCAGATTTCCGCATCCAGCCACGCAAATCAAGCCAAAATAAGACGTCCCTACAGGTCTTCCTTACGGAAAACGAGGAGCTAATGATAATAGCAGCAATAGTATGAGCACTACTCCCACTCGCCAAGGCACAAAACTGATTCCGAAGTGAAGTCCCTGAACATGCCGATGGTGGATACTACCTTTAACAATCTTGTTTGCTTTTGGGTTCATGGTTTAGGGCTTAGGACTGCGAATGAAGTTATAGCGGTTGAGCAGGTGGATATGGTACCCGTGAACTGGCGATGGGAGCGGTTTACCATCGTGGACGCCGGGCAGGGGAGGATTGCGCTCCACAACGGCGTGTCCAACTGTTTTCTGAAGATGAGCGATTCCGGGATGGTGTTCAGCCCACACAAGGCTCAGGGTTTAGGGTTGGGGCTCAGGATTTGGGGGTTTAGGGTCGAGGGTTTTAATCGGTTCCACCTGGCTATGTGACCGATCCAACGTCTGCTCAAAGGACCAGAACGCGCTTCCTTCCCATTGGGAATCGGAGTTTTTTGAGGTGATCGGCGTCGGAGAGGGGATGGTGGCGCTTTGGAATAAACACCGCAAGCGCTTCGTCAACATGAGCCCGTCCGGGGACGTGGGACGCAGTCGCGAAAGACCCGACAAGACCCTGCAAGATGGATGGTCGTGGGAGAAGTTCTACCTCGTGACAGTGAGACCCTACCTGGAGCCTGGTACTACTGTGGCTCTTTACAATACGCGAAATCGAAAATTTCTCCGCATGAATCTGAAGGGGTGCCCTCGACAAAAAATGCCTAGAATTCATTCTGCCCGGGCTTGTGGAGTGAGAATAGTTTCCGTCAGAAGCTCCTTGCATCATGATCTGAGGTCTACGTATATTGTGGATTTCAGCCCAGAGAGCGACGGTTCTAGACCCGATGGCTGGGAAAAGGAGTGGTTCAGGGTGGACGATGCAGGCAATGGAATGATTGCACTCTGGAGCACGAAGTATAAGAACTATGTGATGATGGAACACGAATGGCTTCGAGCAGCTGGTGGAATCGCCGCTCCGACTGGTATGAAAGCATGGTCCTGTTTGTTCCTGTTGCCAGCGATGTAACCGAGGATATTTGGGAGCGGTTCGTTGCTATCAGTCCTCCGGGATCGATGGAGACCGCTCTTTGGAATCCGTTTCACCAAAGCGGCTTGTCCGGTGGTGCATCATTTTCGCGAGCTTTCTTTGCAGAGACATTTTGAATGGTAGAGATTCATGGCTTCGAGACATCATGAAAGCCTCAAGGGATCCGAATCTGCCCATGTTGGGGGACTGAATAGAGTTTACTCTCATTCTTTGAGGGCTGCAACCAGTTCAGGCACTATCGACACGTTTACGGGCGCCCCCAAGCGTGGTTATCCAGGAACGCTCCAGGACAGGATCAAAAGTTTGAGAAGCAACAGTAGTTCTTTATTGTGGTATGTTAACCTGTTAAAACCTGATTAACAAACAACCCCCGCGCTATCAAGGTCAAACCCTAAACCCTAAACCCCGTCATCAAGGTTCATGAGCAGCCCGCAGCACCCGGGGGCCGATCCAGATGGAAAACTTGTTTGGGGGTTTCGGGTAGCAATGCAGCACTCAACGGGGTAACTTAAAACTTAACGGATTCGTCGGTTTTCTTGAAACTGCGTTGGCGATACCGTCCAATCGGGGGTTCTTTTTGGGCTTCGTAAGCCTTATTAAAGGTGAACCTGAATCTTGAACAACCCTACACCCCAAACCCTAAACCCTTAACCCCCATACCCTAAACCCTCAACCCTAAACCTTGAACCCTAAACCCCGAAAACCTCAATCCCTAAACCCTACAGGGCCTTCCGCATCATTCCGAGACATCTCTGCAGGCGCAGAGCAAGGGGTTTAGGATTTAGGGTTTAGCCACCGAGAAGAACCGAACCCTAAACCCTAACTCCGGGCGTACGATATGAGCACAGCGACTTCTCGCATCATTCGGTTTGTGCGGGCCCTTGCTTGGATGCCGAGTGGATGAGCAGCCAGTCAATAGACCGACCCGGTGGAAATCGGGTAGAGTCCTTCGCAAGACTAACTTTTTGGCAACACACGGTAGGTCGTGTTGAAAACCCTCCGACCCACCCGCTGAAGCTGCACCAGGACCTTCCGGGCAATAACCGATACACCTGGAAGGTCATTGTGAAGCCGCCCTCGTGAAGCTCCAGCTGCTTGTATGCGTAGAAGGAGCACCTGCTGAGCTGAAGTCAGCGCTTAAGTTTAAGTCCCCCGTCATGTTCATAGCCCCATCAGGCGGGCATTCCTCACATGGCCATTGATCACAGACGGGGAACAGCATCGCCGCGCGGCATGCGCAGCAAAAGCCTTCGAGCCAAGCTTGGCGTCTGATCCATGTCTGAAGTGTAGTGGACCCTACATCTAGCGCATGAACCTTTACAGTGCCAGCTTGGACGAGTGCCATGCATTGAGATACGCCCCCGCTCAGCTGCAACCTTCTGAATGAAGTACAAGCTTGATACCTCAGAAGCAGGGCCGCCATAGCAGGGTTTACACGCGCACACAGTCACAGACTCACACACTCGCTTACCTTTACGTGCAGAGCCCAGATCAAAAGTTCAACACTGCAACCGTCAGCCTTAGAAATCTGAGCGATACATAAACCCTGTGCTTCTTGCCGGGCGGTGATGACGGCGTGCCAACGTTGTGGCCGTCGAGACTTCAACGAGCGGGCCCCAGCCGTGGTCTAGGTGAGGGAGAGAGAAACAGGGACAGGGCTTGTGCACAGTGATTTGCACCAGGCTGTTCGTAGCCATGTTCAAGAAATCCTCCACAGTGGCCTTCAAGGGCGAAGTGAGGAGCGAGCTTTTGGGTCGAAGAGTGCACCTTTTGATCAAGTCTTCAGTGCCCTCAACACTGCCAGGATTCGTGGCAAGGAGACGCGAGCCCTCTGCAAGGCAGAAGACCTGAGTAACGTGTTGGTCAGGCAGCAAGACAGGTCAACGAGAACGTTGCAACAAACGCCTCCTTGTTGTTCCGGTGGGGCGATCAACTGCAGTGTGTTGTGGAATGTCCCGGTCCGTTTCGTGTGCTAGGGAGCACCTTGAATGTCTCAAGCAACCAAGGGACGGTTACAAGGCCGGAAGCAGCAGCCAGGTCGTTGCACGGGTCGAAGCATTGACACAGCAACTGCCTAGGTTTTGTTGGACACGTGTCGTGCATGGAGAATCGATTTTATATTTCTTGGTCCCCGGGCAGGCATTGGCGGCTTCTGCTGGGGAGGCCGTGGCTGAGGTCGGCCGCTGCATCGACATGTGGGAGTTTCCGAAAATGAGAGACCCTAATATAGGACCCCAAAATGAGGTACCTCTAATATTCGGAAACTCCCATGTCCTCGTGGCTGGACTGCCAAGCAGGGAGCGTCGGGCCGCCTCCGAGGCTATCCTGCCGAACAAGGTGGACATTGTAGTCAGGAAGGACGGGCGTTGATACCCACAGCCTTATGCTGACTATCGCTGAAAGCCTTCAGAGATATGCACTGCAGGCAGGTGGAGGAAGCTCGCTCCAGTTCATTTTCGCAGGCGACGAGTGTGTTCTTGTCTGGACCTCTGAACCGAACTCGGGTTACTGGGGTTGAAGCACTGACATTTGCTAGCAAACTCTCACGAGAGTCACACATCATGTGTTCGTCGCAAGCTTGTCGCGCCCTGCCCAGGTGCAGCTTGACGGCAAAGCCGATCTTGGACAGGTGGCTTCGCGACACTGTTTAAGGATGCTTTCAGCTTGCATCTGACTGCATATGCGTTCTCTCACAGCGTCACTTTGCAACACTTTCTGCCGAGATCGTGCCAGGGAGAGCTTATGCCAACCCTCGTGTCGCTGTGGAAGGCTGGTGCTGGCCTAGGTCAGCCGTGTGTGTCACAACGACCAGACCAAACTGCACAGGTTCCCTCCGCTGAGTCGTGGCTTCCTTGTGCAATCATCCAGAGGTGGCTGTCAGTTTCATGCTATTACTCTCGTTGTTGATGCCGTTGCCGGCGATAATCAGGATGGTGTGTTTCCACTAATGTGGCGTGATGATCGCGTGGATGATTATGATGGTGACGATCTAGAGGACGATGGCTACTAGGATGATTAAGATGTCCATTATGAATGCTTGTCTGGCTAAACTTTCCACGAGCACACATAGCAGCACCCATACTTGCGCTTGTAAAGGTACCACTGCTAGCACTGGAACATATCCTAGAACGAGCTACAGGCACCGTCGCTTTTGTTCTATCTAGCACACCTGGGAAGAATTATATGGAACTTGGATGGTCAAGCGACTTCAAGCCTTAGTCGTCGTCGTCCTCGCAGTCGGTGTGGACGTGCTTGCGGTGGCAGTGGCGATGGCGGTGGCGGGTGGCGGTGGTGGTGGAGGCGGTGGTGGTCCTGGTAGTGGTGGTGGTGGTGGTGGTGGTGGTGGTGGTGGTGGTGCTGATGGTGGTCGTCGTGGAAGTGATCGTCGTCAACGTGCAGTAGCCGTAGCGGTAGCAGAAGTAGCCAGCAGGAGAGGAGGAGGAAGAAGATGAGGACTAGTACCAGTACAAGTACCAGTAGCAGTAGTAGTAGTAGTAGTAGTAGTAGTAGTAGTAGTAGTAGTAGTAGTCGTAGTAGTAGTAGTAGAAGAAAGAAGAAGAGCTAGTAGCAGTAGCAGTAGTAGTCGTAGTGGTAGTGGTAGTGGTGGTGGTGGTACTCCGCCACGCAAGCAAAGCAGAAAATCCTACCCTCGAGACTTTGCGCTAAAATAGTCTCAAGCCACAGGTTTAAAGCCCTCAAGTGCGGAAAAGCGTGGTGCCAATTAGGCATCAGCGTAGTAGTAGTAGTAGTAGTAGTAGTAGTAGTAGTAGTAGTAGTAGTAGTAGTAGTAGTAGTAGTAGTGGTAGCGGTAGTGGTAGTGGTAGTGGTAGTGGTAGTGGTAGTAGGAGTAGTAGTAACAGCAGCAGCAGCAGGAGTAGTAGTAGGAGTAGGAGGAGTAGTGGTAGTAGTAGTAGTAGTAGTAGTAGTAGTAGCTGCTGCTGCTGCAGCAGCAGCAGCAGTTCAGCAGCAGTACTAGCAGCAATAGGGCCCGTCTTTTTTCCTACCCCCTAAGGCTTTTTTACCACCCCCCATCTTTAAAGCCACCCCCTAGAGCTTTTTTTCCCCCGCTCTGTAAAAGCTTGTTCTTGACCCCCCCGGGCAGCTTTTTATCCACCTTATGAGATCTTATTCAACCCCCGACAGCCGGTTTTCGACCCCGAAAAGCTTTTTGTTGACCCTCTCCGTCTCCCGTTCAACCCCCGTCCTCTTCAATTTGACCCCTTCTGAATCGACCCCGAATGTCTTCCAGCAGAGGGCCTGTTTTTCAGCAGTGATTCTTGTTCTACGTACCCTAGCGGGGGCACGTCTTTGTTTCGACATTGAAAAACTTCCTTCTGACGGGGCGTGTTGTAGATATGTGATGAACCGGAATCGCCAATCACCGGGCATGTTGTGGATGTATGAACCGGCGTCGACAAATGAAGCCGTGTATAGAGATATGATGAACCGGAAGCGCTATAAACGAGAAGGCGTGATATATACATACACGCACATATGCGTTTAATGCTTAAGGCTACGTATATGTACGTAGGTAGTAAGTACCGTACGTATGCTGCCGGACAAGGAGGCAACGCAGCATGTACACGTAAATGTTTGCCTGCCTACCGCACAAAGTTACTGAGCACATGCATGCCTACTAACGTACCGACGTACATTATACATACGTACGCGCTCCCGTGTCCCCACGTGGCCCATGTGCGTGCGCTATACCGCAGCAATATAGGATAGCGGTGGTGGTAATGGCATTAGCAGTAGCAGCAATCGGAATAGCAGCAGCAGCGGAAGAAATGGACTGGGTTTAGTCGTCGTTTGCTTGGCAGCAATAGACGTCGGCAGTCGCCGTGGTGGTGGCAGTGGTGCGGCAGCAGCAGTGACAGCCGCAGTGCCAGCAGCAGTCGCAGCAGCCGTGGTTGCACTCATACTGGTATTACTTGTTGGTGACCACTGAATAGTGACGAATGCTCTCTGTACTTGTGCCACCATCATCTACCATCATTACCGCCAACGTGGTACTGGTTGTGACAGATGGCGCAGTCTTCATCGCAACACTAGTGAATAATGCTAGTAGCAGCTTAGCAGTGGCGGTGATGGTCAGATTACCAGTACCCGGTATTGATCTGCTGCATGTAGCCACTGCCGTAGCAGTTTGTGTCAATTGCTGCTACAATCGTCGACTATATGGGTGCTTGTCAAAATTAGGATCCCTTTTTGGGTCCTTATTACAATGCGGCACCCAATATTTAGGGCACCCAAAAAGGGACCCTAATGTTGACAACCACCCATATGGTGCGTCGATCTTCTCCGCTGCTGCTGTAAATTTGTAGCTAACCCGCCAGGCCAGTCGCCAAGTTCGTTTTCGGAGGGGCCAATGTGATGGTGGCACCCCCTGCGCTTCGGAGGTAGTTTTCATCTTGCAGCTTTTGGAAGCATTCTAGCAAGGGCTTTTTTGGCCGTCTCGTGAGTTCGGTGAGGCTCCTGGCATTCTGCGCATAGTGCCTCCTGAAGGAAGCCGCGTCTTCAGGTGCAGCGTGCTTGCTTCCCGTGGACGATGCCTTGCTTCGAGGTGAGGTGCTGCCCAGAGAGGGCAGCCTCGTTGCTGTGCGTGCGGAAGGCATGTGTGGATGTGACATAGAGCTCTTGGGAGTGGGCACTGGGCTCCGTTAGGAAATCCTGCTGCTTGCGCGGTGGGTCGACTGCGACTACCAGCTGCAGCAGTGGGTGTTGGAACGAAGCCGTTCGCTTAGTTGAACGATGCCGTCCGCACACGGAAAGCATGCAGGGAAAGTGGCAAGCATATCAACAAGTATCTGGTAGACAGCAGGGTTCAGCCATACTTCCCGGGAAGGGGCGAAGCCGTCGAAGTCCTGCATTACTTCGGCGATGCTTTGTGGGAGGCCGCTGGTGAATTGGTACAACATGTGCAAGCCCGCGATACATTCGCAACTATATCAAACTATTGAGACGATGCAACCGGTGGTAAGAGTGCTCGTGGTCGTCGTCGGCGTCGTCGTCGGCTTCGTCGTGGTAGTCGTCGTCGTCGATGCTGCTGCTGCTGCTGCTGTAACCATGAGCCTTAGCAGATTGTCGCTGCAGCCGTTGTTATTGTCTTTGTCAGTACTATCACGGTTCTCCTTGCCGCGACTACTGTTATCATCACTGTAGCCGTCGTCCTGTATCGTGCTGCCCTGACTTCGTGGTCAGCAGGCAATGGGAAGCCCACGGCCTGATGGCTTCGTAGGCGCAGCAGCGGGACGGGCGCCGGACTGTCGGATGTGTTTTTCCGTGTCTTCATGTTCGTCGCACAGGTGCCGAGATCCAGCCTACTGAGGTGACGGAGGTGGAGGCCATGACGACTAGAATGACTAGAATTAGCTTTAAGGTTGAAACTGGTAGGTAGAGTACTCATTCCGTGATTGTCAGTATTCCTGTTGGTATGGTGTGGTTGTTATAGCCAATGCTGCGCCTTCAATTTTGGATGTTGCGACTATGAGGATAGCGCGACAGTCTTGTCATGGCAGCATGTCCGCGTCTGAAAGGTTTCGGCCTCGGCAGAAGCGCAAGGATATCCTCCCACAACGGACGCGTCCCGGCCTTGGCCCTCAAACTTCCAAGGCCCAAGGCCGTCGCGTCTCGTTTTTTGCAGGGACGGCAAGGCCAAGGACTCCGAAGAGTCCCGGCCTTGGGCTCCGGAGCTTCAAGCGCGAGCACAGGAGCGGATCCGAAAGCCGGTGATTACCTGCTGGCAATGAGCTGCGATCGCTTCTCTTTGAGGTCAGAGGCCAAAGCTGGACCTGACATGGACAAGTCACTCGAAGAGACCTTGCTGCAGGCCACATGCCGGAATCTGAATTCTGAATATGTCCAGAAATTCAAAGTCAGGCATTGTCGGCCGTCAATGAAATTTCTCCTCCGATGGGTCAAGCAGCAGTTGTATCAATCGAAGTTTTGATGCCGGAAGGCCATCAAGACTCGCATCAAGGATCGGGACTTGCGGTTGCCTTGGTGGTTCGAAAATGTTCGAAACATGGAGATACTGGCTCAGTTTTTCTGTAAGTGGCAGAGCGAGGCCCATGGCCGGCAACGTTGCCTACACGCAGCACATGCGACCCTGCAGGAACGCTTTGGGAAACTTGTGGGGGCCCACGGAACCCTGAGATGCCTCGCTAGGAGGGCCGGATCCAACATCGACGTCAAGGCCTTCGCCGAGAAAGGTTTTGAAGCTCTGTAGACCCTCAGCGATCCCCTCCATCTGTCAGGTTAGTTCCTTCAAGAAGCTCGGTGCATTTCTTGCGCACGCCGAGGACTTCGCAGGTTGAGTCTCCTCTTTGCTCGGATGTTTGCGACACCTTTAGACGTCTGCTCGCAGTGCAGCTCCTCTTCCCTGCAAGTCTGCCGTCCTGTGCCGTCCATAAAGTTCGGATTTGAGATTCGGCATCGTCGGGCCTCGTTTGCGTCTCATGTCTGCATCTTCTTGATCGCTTCGGATGAAACGGAGGCAAGGCGAGTCTTCAAGAGTAGGGCCACCCAGGCAGACGACAACGTTCGCCAAAGCGCTTGAAAAGTCCTACCACCACCTTCATTGTGGGAACGGAAGAGCAGCAACAGTCACCAACAGCGAGCAGCACAGCCAGAACCAAAAATCCTGTGCAGAAATCAGTCCGTTGTGCTCATCCAGTTTCATGGTCTGCCGGGGCACCACCGCACAAGCAGTACCTGCTGTAATCCCGGTGCAATCCAGGAGCTGGGATGGATTGCCATGAAGAAGTCATCAGATCCGGTGGTGACCAGGACGGACGGTGTTTGCTAGACTATCAAGGAGATAACCAGGCACCGCAAGGCAAGGCTGGACGTGGTGTAGGCGGAGACTGACTTGGGAGTAGTCTCTGCGGCCGGCGGCGGCATTGCAAACACTTGCAGGTGAGTTGCCTGCGCTGTCTGGCCGGGCATGTCCCTGCAAGTCTAGCTGAGTCGTATCGCCGAAGGATTTTCCGCGACCATCCCGACATCCGGGAATTCAAGCCGTGGCCAAAGCATGTCGCGGCCTCGAAGTGGCATTTCTTCAAGTCCGTTTTGTTGCAAAGTCCCCATCCTGGAGGTCACGGCAGAGGCTGACGAAGCACCAGCAGAAGCTGCAGGATGGGCCACGGTGAAGCGCTTGGGCACGCATCACTGGAGACGGTTTGCCAGGAAAAGATGCGAATTGCCCGTCTGCAGCCATCCAGGCGCTGTCCTTCCTTCCAATTTTTTCAAGCCTGATAGATGTTCTGGCTTCAGATTGAGCTGGTGTGGAAGATCGTCAAGCTCAAGCCCATACTGGAGGCGCCAAAGGGATAGAATTCTTGTGCAGCAGGAGCACTTCGGGCTCGAGGATCCCCTTGTCCAGCCGGGTGCTCCTGTCGGATTCCGAGCTGCGCCGCCCCGCCCATGCGCCGCTTGGCAGGTGCTGAAGACAGAGATGCCCTCCGATGAGTGCTGGACACGGGAGGAGTGTCTCACTCTCGGGTTGAGTCGCAGCAAGAGCCATGGAAGTGAAGCTCTGGCCGAGGTTCACAAGCGGTGAAGTTGTATGCAGACGCTCGTGAGTTGTGGTCCGCCGCCACTTTTAGCAACTCCGAATGCTGCCCCGATGGTGGAGCCCTGGGAAGACTTCAGGTTGAAAAACAATCGCAAGCGCATCGGCCCGGACCCATTGCTGCTCTCTGCTCTGCAGACGCCATCAGAGGACACCTGGGACAGAAGTGCCAGCGTTGCCAGGGACTTGCTCATACCGTAAGTCTTGCTTCTGTTGTTTCTTCTTCGGTGGGAGACACACCTCTTGCATCACTGAAGCCGCCTTTGCCTTAGCCCAACAGCGAGGAGTCGGCTGCCAGCATGTCTCCCGATGCCGTCACCGACAGTATCCTGAGGCAGTTTGTGTTGAGATGTATTGAAGCTCGCTAGAGAGAAAGGCAGACACCTGCATAGTCTCCAATGTTGGAATGAACCCTCGCCAGGGCACTTCCACTGTGCCATCGTGTGACGGCTCCGTCGGCTTCCTAATGCTTTGGAGTCGCAGTGGAGGTTTTGAAAACTGCGGACATCGTTACGCAGCAAAACAGAGACCATCATTATCAGAAACCCATGCCTAAAGCCCTTTTGAGACCCTATGCAACCCTTGTGGAGAGCTAGACCACCCTTTAAATCAATACAACCACCCTTACAAAACAAAACCTAAACCCTAAACCCCAAACCGCCCTTCTAAATCAATACAACCTCCCTCAAAAAAAGGGGACCCGTTTGCTCTACGAATCGACTTAGGGTTTAGGGTTTACAGGATTTAGTGGAGCCTTCGCCGAGGCAGGGCGGGGCTGCCGGAGGTGTGAAGACGAGCGTCAGGCCCGGAAAACCCCCCTCGGTCCAGGCGCCACATCAGTGCCTACTAAAGGGTGCTTTTGGGGTTCCTACAAAGGGTTCTCTGGGGGTTCTATAAGGATACTATAAGGGTACTATAAGGGTTCCTTAGGGTTTAGGGGGTTCAGGGTCATAAGGTTCCTACAAAGGGCACTATATAGGATTCTATGTTAAGGTCCCCCTTAAGAGCGGTTTCAGAGGGCTTAGAGGGTTTAGTGGGTCCAAGGTTCATTGGGTCCACGGTTTAAGGGTTAGTGGGTTTAGGGTTGAATGGGTTCGGAGCTGAGGGTTTAGTTGGTTGAAAGTTGAAGGTTTACAGTTTTCAGGGTGTAGATGGGTTCGGGCTTAATGGGCCTAGTGGATTCAGGGTTCTGCGGGTTTTAGGTTTCAGTGTGTTCAGGTTTAATGGGTTTAGTGGGCTGAAGGTTTAGTGTGTTCCGGTAAAGTGAGTTTAGGGTTTAGTGCGTTCCGGCTTTATGGGTTTGGTGGGTTTAGGGTTTAGTGGGTTTAGGGTTTGGGGTTCACAGTTTTCAGGGAGTAGATGTGTTCGGGGTTCAGTGTGTTCAGGTTTTGGGTTTAGTAGGTTCAGCGTTTAGTGGGTTTAGGGTTTAGTGCAGCGTGTTCGGGTTTGGGGTTTAGTGGGTTCAGGATTTGGTGGGCTTAGGGTTTAGCGTGTTCAGGTGAATGGGTTCAGTGCGTTACGGGTTTCGTGGGTTTAGGGTTAAGTGTGTTCGGGGTTGTTGGCTTAGTGTGCACAGGGTTTTTGGGCTTAGTTGGTTTAGGGTTAAGTGTGTTCAGGGTTTTGGGTTGAGTGGGTTCAGGGTTTTAAGATTTACGGTTTAGTGTTTTTGGGTTTACGTTGCAGGATCTAATGGGTTCAGGGTTCAATAGTCTGTTCAGGGTGAGGTGGATTTGGTGTGTGGTGTTTCGGGTTCCAGGTTAGTGTGTTCAGGGTTTCGGGCTCAGGGTTTAGTGGGCTCTGAGTTACGCATTTAGTGGGTTCAGGCCAGGGTTCAGGATTCAGGGTTTAGTGGCTCTAGTGCTTAGTGTGTTCAGGGTTTAGTGTCTTCAGGGGTTTGGGTTTGGTGGGTCAGGGTTAAGGGTTTAGTGGATTTGCAGTTCAGTGTGTTCAGGGCTTGGGGTTAAGGGTTTAGTGTTTAGTGGGTTCAGGGTTTGCGATTTAGGGTTTAGGGTTCAGATTGTAGGTGCGTCCGGGGTGTAGTGTAGTGTGTTCAGGGTTTGACGGGTTTGGTGGGTTCAAGGTTTAGCGTCTATGGGGTTCCAGGGTTCGTTTAGTGTCTTCAGGGTTTTGGGCTTGGCAGTTCAGGGTTTAGGGTTGAGTGGGTTCAGTATTCAATTTTTAGTGAGTTCGGGGTTTACAGCTTTCATGGTTTTGGGTTTGGTTCAGACTTCAGGGATTTAGTGGGTTTAGTGGGTTTAGTGGGTTTCGGGTCTACTTAGTTTAGTGGGTTCAGTGTTTGATGGGTTCGGGGTTAAGGGATTAAGTGGTTCAGGCTTTTCGGCTTCGGGTTTGGGGTTCAGGGTGTGTTTGCCAGTTCTAGTCTAGTGGTTTCAGGATCGTGCGTTTAGGGTTAATTGTCTTAAGGTTTGCCGTTGGAGCTAAGTGTGGTGCTCTTGTCCCAGGGGCTTCGACACAAGCTTCGACTTCCATGCCGCAGGTGCGAACAGATACACGCCGTGGCCACAATGTGACCTTGATCCAGGGACTCGAGGCACAGAGCTTGCAGTTGCAAAGACGTGTGCTTCCTTCCAAGAAACGGAGTTGATGAAGCTAGCCTTTTTCGGCTTACTCATGCACATGCGGTTCATTTCCAAACTCTTGCGCTGTGCCCATGGATGTGCCGACCCCCCGCTACACCTGCCACTCAACATACATCAGAGAAGCGTTGGTGCCATGGATGTGCAAGATGAAGCGCCTCCACAGCGGTGCGGGGCCTGCCCTTTCGGCAGCCATTCGCATGCTCCTGTCCCGAGAAGTAGCAATGAATAGATTCTGGATCTGAGTTGACAGAGGCAGCGCTCCAACATGGCTGACCTGCGCGAGTCGCTGGCCGCTGTCGGGCAGTGTCCTGAAAACTCGAAGTCTCCTCTCTTGTCGCTTTAGAGAGAAGACTCCAGGTGCCGCGACGAGGGAATCAGAGGAACCTTTGCGGACAAGCTGAAGCTGAAGGTGGGGTGGGATGCTCTGCAATGCTTCCCCCCTTGCTGCTGGTGTCTTGAGTATCTTCGGTGATGCTACCGTTGTTTTTTGTCAGTGGTCGTTGTGCACGTGGCGGTCCTCCTGCCGGCTGCTGATAGCTGCTACTGTTGCTGCTGCTATCATCGGTGCTACTTTACTGCTCATGCTGCTCCCTCGGGTGTCGGTTGCATGTGCAGAGGCCAGTTCGTTGTCGCATGCATGCCTCAGCTTCCAAGCCTTAGTTGCGGATGTGTTTTACATTTCTCCTTTTGCAAGGCTGCGACAGACGCAGAGATACTTCGGGACATTTCTTCCGCTCTGTCCAGTCCTGGCCCAGAGGCAGGCCCAGACCCTTGACCTTACGGTGAAAGCGCCGATTGGGAGGCCGTCCATGCTGCAGCACTCGCACGCCACCAAGCTTCGAGTACACCACAAGAAGCCGAGAGCTGCCTCGCTGAATTCCTGAACTCTGAGGTCCGCTCTATTTCGATCACTCCGCAAGCAGCAATCAACGTCTGCAAATTTGTTGGGATCCCCTGGAGACATCGCGAGACTCATTCAACGTGAAGTTTGTCTCAGACGGGCTGAGGTGCTACCAGCACTGTGCAGTGCTCTGCATCGCCAGAAGGACGCCGAAGACGCTCCGACCAAACATACGTTCTTAGAGGAGCCCCCGGTAAATGTAGCAGGAGACGTGGCTGCTGGCCTGGGCTCTTGCATCCATGATCCGCCTGGCGGGATGGAAGCTGGGATTCCAACCATCCCAAAACCCACCGAAAAAGCCTTGTTTCCGGGGAGGCCCAGCACCAGGAGACGCATCACCTTCTGAAGCGAGGGGGAGCGGCGCCTCGCCGGTCACTTGTGGTCTTTCCGAAGCGCTGGGCCGAGCCTTAGCCTGTCAGAAGGTCCAGACACTGGCGCTGTTTACACGGCCCTCGTACCGATCGAGACCCGGGCAGGTAGACTCCCGGTTCCCACACCGCTCTGATGCGACTCTGCGCTTTGCGACGCTTTGCACAGGTGCGCCTGGACCTGATGGCTTCCATAGGCCACCCTTTGGGAAGAGCCGAGAGCCGAGAGGCAGCGAGAGGCAGAGTTGGGCTGTGCCTTCAAAGGCCTGGGATTTCTCAGCTCTGCCGGCAAAGACACCGCTGCCTCTGTCCCTTTGAGAGTGGTTCCTGAGCCTCTCAGCTGCAAATCTTCCTGGAAGAGGCGGTTTCTCTCTGCCTGCACGCGCCTACGAAGATGCTGCATAATCGCATCGCAGGCTCAGATGTCTATTGCATTGTCCTCAACCCTAGATCCTAGATCTGCAAGATCTGCTTAATGGACTAATACAAGCCGGCAGAAGCTGGTTCAATCATTGCTAGCTTAGACGTACAGACGCCGTACACTGGGAGCAGATCAAGCCATTCCTTGAGAAAGTGAGCTGCGCGTCTTCTTCATCGGCGATGTTCGGGTAGACCATGGCGTCTCATGGGAAGCTATTTATCGCATGCTCTTCGTACGAGGACGGAGGCTATCTGAGCTTGCAGGACATTGGACACCTTGTATGTGCCAACGTACTTCTTCAGTATGCAGCCTGATGACAGCGATTTTCAGCCTTTTGCCGACTCGTGCTCGTCTTGTCGAGCATCACATGTGTGGAGTTTTCGCATGCCATATGGTATACGGCGGCTGCATTCGTGTTGCCTCTGCTGTGTAAAGTCTTGTCTTGCTTAGCAAGGCTGTTTGCACTCACAAGCGCTCAATGAATCAATAAGTCAGCCAGTCAGTCAGTCAGGCACGCAGGCAGACAACCAATAATTAATCCATCAATCTTCTACCCGCGTGTTGGTGATGTGTCTGGTGCCGTGTTGGAGCAAGTGCGCCTCCCGAACGCAAGTCGAGAGTTTCATTGCGAGTCAGAATACTGCAGGGGGCGAGCGAGTCCTGTTCCTGTTCTAACATCCGGGTCAGTCAGCCCAACCAGCCTGAGTGCAGTGTCTCGTGATGTCAAAGCAGCCCATCCGCTCTAGCCAATCCGAGCGCCAAGGCTGGTGCGGTTGCTCGCTGCTCGTTTTCAAAACGATGTTGATCAGGCCCACGGCCGTGCACAGGGCGGCGAAGCGTAGTGAGTAGTGCGAGGCACGAGCCTGTGGTCTTGTGCAGGTTGTGGACGGAAGGATTTTCTGCGGCATGCCTGTCGACTACAGGCCGTGAGAGACCTTTTTGGAGAGCCTTGCGACTTTTGCGGTGCCAGGCCTCGCTTCGTCGCTCAGGCCTTGGTTGGCCTCTGCGAGGAGTGCTGGGGACCCGTTAGGGCCATAGGGTCAGAGGTAGCCGCCGCTCTCAAAGTCCCCCTGCTGGGCTCGGAAGGCCTCCGGCGCCCATGTGGCCGTGGCCTGGCAAACCGTCTTGCCATCACTTCTCAGAGACATCTTGACTGGCGGATTCCTTGGACGTTGGGAATTTTGCGGACATTTGCCGCTCGCGCCGGAGCGAGGCGAGCTGCCCAATGACACGGAAGTGAACCAGCCGTACGGCAGCCCGGACGTTGTGGAAATGGCGAACAGGCACTCTGATGGATGTGCATCATTGCGGGAGGCTCGTTTGCTTGCTGCAGTCTGCAGATCAGCGCTCCAGGTGTCGGACGGCACTTCTGGCTCACGCGAAGCAAGGTGGGATAGCATCGGCCGAGGCGCGGGCGCGGTGCAGGTGCTCGAAGTTGGTGGGCTTCGCCGCTAAGCCGGCGTCTACCCGTAGCGGCTTCATGTGAGGCCGTGGCAGCCTTGCGCTCCGCTCCAGCAGCTCCGAAAGGTACCTGGGCACGGGCCTCAGCAGACGAGGGCGGCTTCTGCTTCTGCTTCAGCCCTGTGGCCGAGGAGAAGCGGTCGCAGGGGCAGCCCAGTACCGGACCAAAGAGTCGTCTCTGACGCAGGGAAAAAGGATTTCAATCGATGCTTATGCTCCGCGGCTCTTCCTGGCGTTTCCAAAGTCGTGCTGGTTGCCAGGCATATGGTGTCAACATGGAGGCAGGTCAGATGCAATGAAGCAGCGATCGGGATATCTTCATTTCGGAAGCACTTCCCGGTCTCAGGCCTTTGCATCTTCCCTGCAGAAGGCTTTGGCATCGGCGGCCGTTGTGGAAGAGGACTTGTCGTTGTCTTATCTTTTCAGATATCATCAGATCAGGATGTTGCGGAAACACCGACTCCAACGCCCCAGACGACCCTGCCCGAGCTCTGCGCCGTTTGCCAAGAGCATCCGCAGGCCTCACCGACGCAAGCAGCCTGCGTCATGGTCCAAGGCCTTGTGGAACATTTCTCTCAGAAACCTTTGGGTGGTTCGCAACCGTGCAGGCTTTTGGGATGTGGCTGTGATGGATTGGCTGGTGAAGGCTCCACTGCACTTCGGTGTGCGAATCTGCATGTATTGTCTGTGTCCAGTTTAAAAGGGCTCCGCAGCTTCAAATCAACGGTGGGGCGAAGGGAAGTGAAGAAAGCGCTCTGTAGCACCACGAATCCATCGACATGGGCAAGTTCAAACATCAGCAAGAGCTGCTTGGCCAGCCCGCTGACAACTTTTTGCTTTCGTATGGAGCCTGTGGTGGGGGGAAGCTGGGGGCGAATCTGGCGGCGGAAGCGGCAGTTCTAGGACTGAAGCCGCCTTGGGTGCGACGGCAGTGCCATTAAGTAAGGCTTGCTGCCTCTATAAGCCCCGTGAATTGACTGCCTAAACCGCAAGTCATACACACGAAGCCACCAACCTCCCAACCCGAGTTGCGGAAACCGGCATCCTCTCGAGCCGCTTGCAGTTCCTGCAGGTTGGCATTCCTTCAGAATGCATCCTGCATCAGGCAGGGTCACCAAACGTCCGGGCCGAGAACATCTTCAAGACATAAGCGGTAGCAAGTTTGGGGGATTGGGGGTTTCGGGCGCTTCTTTGGCAGAGTCGCCCGGCTTTGGAAATTCCGATTTTGGGAGGCTGGTCCGGTGTCGACATCCAGCATTGGGGATTGTTCTGACTTGTGCTACCTTCTCAGGTCGCCGCAAAAATTTCTTCCTAATGGAGGCACCAAAAACCTTTCGGGAATTCAACACAGCCCTCAATCTCATGTTTCCGGCTGGCGCAGGAGCGATACACAACCTGGGCCCGACACCAGCCCGAAACACATACCAAGCATCTACTCGGATGAGAGCGTGGGTCTGGCTTTCCGACCACCGCAGGACGAAAGTTCGCCGCGCGTCGTGTAGCCTGCAACTTAACATGTCCGGCACAGGGGCCCCTTTCCCCCCGCAGACTCCTCGGACAAGGTCCAAAAGTCCTCCGCCGATGACTGCAGAGTAGCATACATGTAGTCCAGGAAATAGCACCTCTGCCATGCTGGCCACGAAACATGGACCCGTGGCCTCATGTGCTTGCTACATTGAGAATGTTCTTCGAATGTCGAAACTTTCGTTCGGGGGATGTATGTCCAAGCCCTGCGTGAATGATTGAGGTGGTGAGTAGAGCTTGTCTGCTTCTTTTGGTCAGGCCAAGAAAGGGCAGCAGCAGAAGAAAGCCAAGCAGGCTTCCAACATCGTCAAGTCCTGAGACCTCGAGCAGTCGCAGATTCTGCGAACACAAAAAGATGCATCATGCGTGCATCTCGTTTTCATGTTTGCTATCGGCCGAGATCAAGCCATCGGTGCTATTGGCCCTGCAGCCGTTTAGAGTTACTTGTAGACTTTAGGGACCAGCGCCGCAGCACATGCCGCGTCGACGCAGGATCGGAGGCAAAGCCGTTCATCATACGAGCAAGTCCCAGCTTTGCAGTCAGTTTCAGAGCTCAAGAGCGGGTGACAAGGGTAATGCGTCAAATCTCTAACCAGCCGTTGTTTGTTCCCTCGCCGTGGGATGTGATTAGCGGTTGCGGAAGGAGGCTTGAGTTTTCTTTGGACCTGGCGCAGCTTCAGAAGGTCTTTGAGAGGGGATTCACGTGCATGGTTCCTCTGACTATGAAATATCCGCAGGCTGTGGCCTCACGGTGTGCCTTATCGCCCTGGCATGTTTCGCTTCTCGGATTACGGCCTTTTGCAGGCTCGACGTCCCGAAATCGAAAGGTTCCTGAAAGTTCCTGTGGCTGAGAGGCCCTTCATGGCCACAAAGCCACCGCAGGCCTCGGACCTCGAAAGCTCCCGTCACTTGCGCAAGGGAGCTGATCTGATCTGCAGGTCGCCCGGGCAGCAAGAACACCGGGAAACCAACCGACTGAACAGCCAGGCGCCGCCAGTGCCCTAAACCCTAAACCCCCCAAACCTTAAAAAAAGCAGTGCCAGACCTGAGTGCAGAGATCGAAGCTCTGAAATGACGTTCTTTGTCTGAAGCCATGCTTCTTTTATCCATGCGCAGATTTTCCCGAATTTGCACCTTCGGGGGACTTCATGATGGAGACCCCCTTTTTCAAGGTGGAGAAGTACAAGGAGGACCCTGGACGAAGGGCTTGTCGGATTTGCGAGTTCGGAGTCGGTTCTGCGGCCGGAGCTTCAGCTTTCTGCCATTTCGTGTTTCCGTGTTGCTAGGTTTTTGACGTGCCATGTGCCATGACACGGTGGGGCGCCACGACCGCTCAAGTCTGCAGGGAGAGAGCGTGGGTCTCGCTGCCGTGGCGGGTGTTTTCGTTGCGATATCGTTGATCGCTGGCGTCATGGCATCATCAAACAGGCCAGGACATTGAAATTTGCAGCCATAATGTATCATATATAAAGCTGGTGGCTGTGCTAGGCTCACGACTTTCGAAGTTGTGTTCTGCAGGGGTCAAGTCAATCTGCTGGAAGAGCAGCCGGCGCAGACAGAGGCCAGCACGACCAGCCCAAGGCTCAACAAAGAAGGAAAGCCCATCAGAACGATCGTGCTCTGATGCTTTTCCTTGTACAGAAAAGTAGATATGGGAGTTTCCCAAAATACGGGACTCTAATATAGTACCCCAATAAAGTAGGATCCTTATTGTAAGGACCCCAAACTAAGGTACCCCTAATTTTCGGAAACTCCCATATTGCCGCATGTTCTTCTGCTGAGCAGAATACCCACACTGACTGGCAAGATGACCCAAAAGTCGCAGACACTGCCCTGCCTCCTCCTTTTGGCTACATCGCTACGGGTCCGTTTTGCATATGAGTAGGGAGATGCAGACTTGCTGGCAGTAAGTCTCGGCTCTGATCACAAAAGCGACATGAGCTGCACAACGCATCATATTGTGCTTTGGAAACCTACTCAAGTTCTACTTACCGGAGCTCACGAGACGTTAGGCGATAGCTTGTGAAAGCGGCGCAGTATGCTGGAATACCCGGCGTGATGGAGCTGCTTGCAGACGAGAAAGATGGGCGCTACAAACGCCTGCAGCGAAGGCACATATATCTGCACCGTCTGGCGGGCGATGACATTTTCGCAGCGAAAGTCGAAGCCCAGCCAAAGGCACCCATGCGAATGGTGCCTCAAGATGAAATAGGTTTCGCCAGTTTAAACAGCTTTGCGTTTCGATAAGTTGCCCAGATGTCAAGTGCTGGGTTTTCATGTTGGCTCGGTGTTGATATTTGCCTCGGCTTCTGAGGGTGTTTGATCATGTGCGACAACAGCATTCAGTCGCGCGTGTGTCAGCAGGATGATTTCTTGAGACTGTTCGCTTGAGGCGAGGTGTTTCTTGCGCCCTGATCACGAATGCACTGAGGTGCTGCGATTTGCAGTGTATGCCGGCATTGCCACATTCGTCATCATGGAGCGAAGTCAGGTCGGAGATCTGTCAGCAACGAACGAGGCACTGAGAACCGCCTTGACCAGCCAGTATTTCGAGTACAGCCCTGTGCCGAAAACTTTTGAAGATATCAAGAATGAAGGGGATGTCATCTCGTGGCTTAGATGGCTTTGCAAGGCTCTAGAACAAGCTGGCAGTGAGCAGTCTTACGGGAATCCCCTGTCTCTGCTTTTGCACAACAGAGTGCTTCCCAGAGCAGGGTCATGCTTGGATGTTTCTGCTCTGAGCTTGAGCTTCCGACGCGTGAAGCTCTCAGCCGACAGCGCCTCAACAACCACAGATCGCTTCTCCCAGCTGTACCCTCTGACTTGGATGGCAAGCACCATCGCACCAGGGCAAGCGGGTGGCGATGTGGAAGCAACCTCAAATATCCGCGCTGGCAATGTGACATGGATGCATACGCCACCATGCTCGTCATGCGGAAATGCAGGACCCTTGATTGCACCTCTCTCTCTCTCTCTCTCTGTCTCTCTCTCTAAATCGTGGCATGCCTCTTCATTCCACGTGCCCTTGCGACGGTCAGCCTAGAGGGGAGGGGAATAGGAATGGAAGGGGTCAGGGCCAGTTGGGGTGTCCAGCATCTTGGGTATGCGAATTTCACAGGGAGACCGGGCCTTTGGACCAAGCTTGGGTACTCATGCGTCAGGGGGCATTCCCTGGGATTCAGAAAAACAGAATGGGGTCTGGGATCCGTTGTGGCCCAGTGGCTGTGCCGAGGATATGAGGATGCAGGAGGATACTTGGCAGTGATCACCTCGAGGGCATCAGGTACTCTTGTCCACTTGATCGACAAATCACAAACTTTTGACACCTCGCCAGCCGAAGCTCTGCATCATTGTGACCGAAGGCTTCAGAGATCTGGAACAGTGAGTCTGGACACGTTTTTGGCCGAGCCCTTTTTTGATTCTCAGCTCGGAAGTCTCACACTGGAGTTACAGTCCTACAACGCCAACTATCAAAGCCTCTCCAGGGTTCGGGTCTTCTTTGAGTTCAGTGCTGCAGGGGCGCTCTCTTCGCACCGTATGGCGTCGGACACAATTCGTTTGGACGTGTCTCACAGTTGGATTCAATACTTCGAGTATGCTTACCTGATCCTTACATGCCTTTACTTCTTCGAGCTGGTTTACAGAATTGGAAAGGGCTTTCCGACATATTTGAGAAACTTCTGGTGCTATGTGAATGCGTGCTCCATCATTGGGAGCATCAGCTGTTTCGGCCTCTGGTACTACTACATGCCTCGCTTGAGAGATTTTCGGGTAGGACGCCAATTTGAGGAACCAGCGGAATTCCAATCCCGGTTCGCGACGTTCTCTCTTTACATCGTGGCATCCTCTTTTGCAACATTCACCATCTACTTGAGGGTGTTGCAATTTCTAGCAAACACGCGCTCTCGCGTGGTGTTGCTCCTGAAGACCATCATGTTCAGCGCCGGCAACATGGTTGTCTACATCCTGTACATTGGTGTGATCTTCGTTGGCTTCTTCACATTTGCCTTGACGCACTTCTCCTCATTGTCTGCAAACTTCACAGACCCTTGGACCACTTTCGTCAGCACCTTCTCGCTCTTCTTTGGGGACCTGAGTGTTGTGGACGGCTTCCAGGCACCGCTACGGGTGCCATTTATTTGGCTCTTCATGTTTTTCTTCTTCTTTTTGTCGGTGCAGATGTTCAATGCCATCATCAACTATTCCTACAACAGGGTCTCGGAGGACATGAAGTCAGTCTTCCAGCGCGAGCTGTATGAGCAGCAGCTGAAGAGCAAGAAGAAAGGTCGAAGTCTTTGGCAGGTTCTCACCAGCTTGCGAAAGCCAAAGCAAGCCGAGGAGCAGGAGGATGTGGAAGCTGTTTCTGCTGGAGTGAACTCACAGGCAGCAGCTGCAATCCCGGATGCATCCGCTCTTGATGAAGCAGTTCGACAAAAGGTGGAGGAGTATCGTGGTAGAGACACCAACAAAGCTGCCAAAGATGGCTTCTGTACTGCTCTGGCTTACTGCGTCATGGTCTCATGCTACATCTGGTTCCTCTACGTGAACATGATGGTCGAGGCGAAGAGTTCTGTCCGAATTGTGGTCAACGAAACCGTGCATGCGCTGGAGGTGCCCTCGGCAATGTCCGTGATCCCTAATGACGCTCCGTTGCAGGGATGGGCGGAAATTCACGCCTGGCCGCAGGCAATTTCTTGGATTCGCAGCGGGCTCCCTGAGCTAATTTTCAATTCGACTTCCTCGGCCAGTTTAGCAAGAGCTACAACAGGAGCAAACCCTGTCGCAGCAGAAGGCGTGCGATGCCTGCGATCTTGGAACTGCTTCCTGACTGGTAGCTCCGGGAATGCCACGAACATCGTGCGTATCACGCAGAAGAGAAGCAGACGAGTCTCGAACAATGGGGCACGCCACGATTCGACTCCCGATGACGAACGCTTCATCGGTGGAGTTGACAATGCTACAGGCCAGGAGATCCAGCAGATGCTGGTGAATGCATCAGGCTTCTCCCAGACAATTGACCCTGACTCCCCGAACAATGTCGCCGAGGACACGGGGGCCGGGTTCCAGCTGGCTCTTGGACAAGCTGAACTTTGCAAGACAGTGGCGGCAAACGGACCCGGCAGCTACAAGAATGCAGGCGGGATTGTATGCCAGCTGGATTCAGATCCGGCGACTTTCCAAGATCAGATGGATCTCATGATGGCAAGCGATTTTTTCACTAGTGCTTCTGCAACGTTCGTGGTCGAGCTGGTTACCCACAATACCAACAGAGACATGATGAGCTACATCGTGATCAAGTTTGTGCAGACGCCAGCTGGTGAAGTGCGAAAGGACTTACGGGTCTTCTCTTTGGCACTCTTCGGCTGGGATGTTGGAGTGGACAAGTTGAGCTACTTCATAGGACGTCTACTCCCCGGAGTGATTTACATGATCCTGGTAATGTGCTTCACGATCATGCTTTATCGAGAGCTGCAAACGGAGCATACTCGCCGGACCGTCTCCATGGAGGGTGCAGAGAAAGGTCCTGGCTTTCTGACCACCATCTACACCTTCTTCACCACAGACATCTTCCGGCCAGTTGATACGCTGTCTTTCCTAATGTCTTTCTGGAGCTTCGTTCTCTTCATCATGTGGTTGGTGAAGGAGGGGGACCTGCCGCAGAAATTACAGGGAGACTACGGGTCGATTGTTGACTTTGCATCTGAGTTGACAGCCCAAGAGCGGGAGTACAACCGCATCTCCTCTGCGAATCTTCTGCTCATCTTCGTCCGGCCCCTTCGCTTCATTCGTGAAGATCCACGCATGCAACGACTCAATCAGACCTTGAAGGAGGCCAGAACCGACATCTTTTGGTTCATCATCGTTCTGGGCATTGTCCTTTTTGCGTGCACCCTGCTGTCCTTTGTATCCTTCGGACCTCGGTTCATCAAATGCAGCGACATCTTCACGGCCTTCATCTTCTGCTTCTCTTTCATCTTGGGGGAGTTTGACTTCTGGAGCCTCTTCCAGGCAAACCCCGTGATGGCGGTGATCTTCTTCTTCCCCTACCTGATTCTCGTGTACTGCGTCTTCACCAACATCTTCTTTGCAATTCTTGACAGGTTCTTCGTCTCAGCAGATCCGCCGCCCATTAAGTTCAAGAGGAAGCTCAAGCCACTCTTCTCCAAGATCTGTCGTTGTATCGATTGGGACGATGATTTCGTCATGGAGGGCGACCCCAAAGCAGCCAAAAAAGACGGGCCAGTCTCGCGCGCAGGCCGCGTTGCTGACACCGCCAAAGTGATCCACAACATCCGCAAGGGTCTGGATGGGGAAGCAGGGAGTCAAATGGCGCTGAGCAAGCCACTACGTGAAGTCTGCGACATGGATGACAGGCTTATGGGTGTAGTCAAATGGGGGCACGACGAGGCAGCATCGTTGGTCAGTGACTTCCAAAACCTGCTCGTCAAGAAGCAGCAGTACAAAAACGAAGATGTTTTCATAAAGCAGGTGGTCATGAAGAAAGTGGATACAGATGAGAGCAGAACGAGAGCTGAAATGGAGGAGGCGCATCGGCAGATGAGATATGCAGCTGAAGTGCATGAAGTCATGGCGCTGCGTGATCAGCAGACACTGGCAAAGTACATCTGGCTGCTTGAGCAGAAAATTCAGAAGAAGATGAACGATCAACATGCCCTGAAGATGGAGGCCTGTGATTTGGGGGCTGGCTCTGTGTGTTGTTTCCTATTTACTTGTACTGTAGATTTGACAGGAAGAACAGCAACTGGGACCGCGAGGAAACGTGAAGCTCTGCTGCTGCAACTAGTGTGGTGCATGTACCTTGTGATCAGGTCCAGCACCTTCAGGAAGAAATGGACAGCATGCGTTTCACCAAAGATGAGCTACGGAACCAAGCCGCGGGCATGGGAGCTGCAGAAGCAATGCCGGATGCAGAAACTCAAGGTTCGCAGCTAAGTCGTCTGAGAGTGATGCAGTAGAATCTGGAAGTTCTTCTCCTGCGCATGTAAGACAGACAAGGCCTGGAAGGTTCTGACGAAGAGGAGGATTTAGAGCTTCGCGAAGGCGAAGATGCTATAGCACCGGCGGACGATCCGAACGCAGCTATGGACCATCCGCTGCCAAGCGAGAATCCGACAACAATCTCGATGCTGAAGGCGTTGGGTGAGAAGACATGAGGAGGGCTTAGGGGGCATAAGGTGCTCTGCCCTCGACCGTTTCACGTAGCATGTACGGCCGTTCCGAACTTGTATAGGTTGAGCGGTTGCTGCAAGAGTGCAGCGAAGGCAGTGGTGGATTTAGACACCGCAGGATTCCAGATGCAAAGCTCAGAGCATCTAGTGGTGAGTGGCTTGGAACTTGTGTAGACACGCCCTTTCGTGCCAGCTTCTGATGTATCTGGTGGTGACGTGGCTTGTGCCTTCTGGGCTCAGCTTCCGCAGAATAGCCACATGATGCCACAAGTTATGGAGGACCTTTCGGAAGCTTCGGTGACATTCAAAGGCGACAGCGCATCAACACCAACTATCTGCTCGCAAACATGCATCCCAGAACAAGCTCCAATGTGTAGGGGTCAGTCAGCCGCCTGTTTGGCCGCGATGATCCGATGCGACTTGCATTTTGGATGTAATTTAGGGACCCGGAAAGCGCATAAGCATAAGCATTTTACAGGGACATCCCGCCCTTATTATGAGAGGGGGTTTATATGGGAGATCCTCATCCTAATGTTTCTTATGCGCGTTCCTGGGGCCCTGGTAATGTTGGACTTTTCTCAAGCAGTATCGAGAGAGATGCGGCATGTTCTGCGTGGGCTTGAGGTACTACTTGCTAGCGTCCTTTGCGTCGCGAGCCGAAGCTTCCTCCTCGGTTCTCTTCGAAAGATAGCTAATTATACATATATAATCATATATACATATATGTGTATGTATGTGTTGCATAATATATATATATATATATATATATATATATATATATATACACATGTATACATATATATATACATGTAAACATATATATATATATATATATATATATACTCATCAGTGTCGTGAGCAGACCCAGGCCCCGAAGAGGCGTGCGCGGACTTGAGCAGAGCGTGGTCTCCCGAGCCTAGTCTAAGAGTTCTCCTCGAAAATCGCGGCAGCAGTGACGGTCTGTGACGACCATGTCAAGTTAACAGCATGCCGGTGTTGCTCAATGTGCTCAGGTGGGCTGATGTTGCACGAAAGGGGTTGGACTACTACGCTGAGGCGCTGTCCGTGCCTTCTTGCGCGGTGTTCCCCATCCGTGTCACCGCTGGACATTCCGAGAGGCCGACAGCAAAGGTATTAAGATCACAGTTAGCCGCGATGTGCGCTCCAAGCGACGATCTTAGATCTTTACCGGTGTTGAGTCGGGTGCATGTTCTGCAGTTATGCGCCGACATCAATCCAATGTGTTCGGCGACGGGATCCCACATCCCGGCTCTTGTCTTGCTAATACAGTCTGGGGTTCCTATTGAAATAGTCTTGACAGGCTAGCGGCTAGGGTGGACAAGACCACCCAAGAGACAAATGAACGAGTAGTCGGCCACTGCCCTTTGGGAAGCAGTTGTGGCGGCTACTGAGGGCATCGTCGGATGCAGTTACTGCGACCGCGGCCGTGTCCTCGTTGTTGTCAGTCCACGCATAAGAACTGGTTGTCATGCTTCGATGCTACTGGTAGCACAAACCTCTGCTGAGGCTCAGTATAGAGAGTTTCTCGAAGACTTCGGGAACTTTGACGAGGCTGGTCCCCTTTGAAGTCCTTCCATGGTCTGTTCAAGGACTTGATGAAGCTGTCTGCCAGCATGGGATGTGCCCGCCTGCTGAGACCTGCGCCAGCAGCGATGCAGAGACCCATGTGCAAACGGCGGCGAGGCTTTGCCGGAGGTGCTTGCGGCCTGTGTCGTTACCCTTATGTTGTACATCGGATGTCAGAAGTAGCGCAACGCATGAACAAAAACGGACATTGCCACGGCGGCGGCGGCGGCGGCGGTGGTGACAGTAGTTGCAGTCGTGGTAATTGCAACCGTTTGCGGTGGTTGTTCTTGATTTTGAAGCACGCTCCGGGGTTTGAGAGTACCTGACTGATTTCTTTAATCCAATTTCTCAACTAGAATAGGTTCCAAACTTAGCTACACAGGATCCCAAAAGTCAGGCGCACGCAAGACCGGCTCGAGGATTCGAGCCCGCGGCAGTTCCCAAACTGAATCGAAGAACATCGAGAGCTAAATGATACAATGGCATGCCAGGAGAAGCAGGAGGAGTAGCGGGAGGAGGAGTAGGAGTAGTCAGAGGAGTAGTTGGAGGAGAAGGAGTAGGAGGAGTAGGAGGAGTAGGAGTAGTAGGATCAGTAGGAGTATCAGTAGAAGTAGTAGTGGTAGTAGCAGTAGCAGTAGCAGCAGCAGGAGCAGTAGCAGGAGCAGTAGCAGTAGCAGAGGAGTAAGAGCAAAAGTAAAAAGTAAAAGTACGAGTCAGAGTCAGAGTGAAAGTGAGAGTAAAGGTAAGAGCAAAAGTAGGAGTAAGAGTAAGAGTAAGAGTCAGACGAGTAAGAGTCAGAGTCTGAGTAAGTGTAAGAGCAAGAGTAGGAAAAAGAATAAGAGTGAGAGCAAAAGTACGAGTACGAGTAAAGATTAGGAGTAGTAGGGAGCAGGGTGGAGGAGGAAGAGGAGAAGTAGCATTAGCAGTAGCCGTAGCACGAGCAGTAGCAAGAGCGGTGGCACTAGCCGTAGTAGCAGTAGCAGTCGTGGTGGTGGGTGGCAGGAGGAGGAGGAGCAGCCGGATTAAGCCAGCAGTGGCTGCAGTGTAGTTGTGGCTGTGATTGTTTGCGTAGTCGTCACCGCTGCTACTGCTGCTGCTATTGTGAGTGTAAAGATGAAGTAATGCTAGGGTTCAGCCGGTCCTGATCTTCCTATGATGGCTGCGGTGCGGAGGGTTCAATGAACGCAGTAGTGCATGGAGCAGCGGAGAGTCCATCGAGAGATCAGGTGAGGACTGCATCGCAAAACCGTGATACTGGGCCATGCGGGACAACAAGAGCAGAGAATTGGCTGAGAGTGCTGAGTGTTACGCAGAGATGTTGCATGTTCGCACTGTGCCGCAGGTTTTTCCTGCTGTTGTTCAAGCGCAGCTCTTAATACGACTTCGTCGCTATCGCAAACTACTGCTACATTAATTCGTGCAGACCTAGGCATATGAGGGTTCCTGCTTATGTGCGAGCTGTTGTAGACTCTGCTACAGTTTAGGTCTTTCTTAAGCTATTTGGCTGAGACAGGGAAGCCTACTTGCTAATCCTTCGGATGAGGCCGCGGTCACAAGCGAGGCGCCTGCTGGAAGAGGTCTGATTTCACGTGGTTGAACAGACGAAGCAGCATCCTCCTTCGATGCGTTTTTGCGCTTCGGTGCTCCTTGCTCTGCATGGTAGGATAGTAGGATCTGTCATCCCTTGGCCAACACATGTGTGCAGGGACAGGTTTTGGACGATGGTCTGGCGGAGTTCATGTCGGCGGCGACGCCGCGCCTGCAAACTTCTTGAGTTTTTTTTTCCTGTGCTTGGTCGTTGCCTGCCTTTCGCTGCAGGCCGTGGTCGCTTCTGCTTCACTCAGGCCTGTCTATGGCGGTTTAATCTGTTCCTTCAAGCCGTTGCTGTGACAGTTCCAAGTGCGGTGCTGCTCAGGCATAAGTCAAAATTATGTGGCGACGTAGGATGCTCAATGCAAAGCAACTGGACTCTGAAGCCTGTGCTTTCTTCCCTCCTTGCCTTAATTGCGTCGGCGCAGCCAGGATGGCCAGTCTTCCCTCTTGCTGCGCTGGCCCGGGCCCTGATACTGTTGCGCCAGAGTAATTCCCCAGGAAGGATTTTGTTGAAGAAAGGTCGACATTTCTGGCTTTCAAAGAGCTTCCTTATATGACAAGCTGGCGCTTATTCGTCTGGGTGTGTTTGTCTTCCGGGAAGGTTTCTGTCTGTGTCTGTGTTTTTCATGCCAGAAGCGCGCTGTAGCAAACATCGTCGTTGAACTAGTTGAGGCCACGCTCGGAGTCTCCGAACCGATCCTCAATCCGTGTTTTTTGGTTTCGGGGTTTGGTAATATTTGGACACGATTCCCAACTTGGACAGGGCGATGGGTCTTCTCCATCCCCTGGCTCTCGCTCTCTCTCACACACACTGGCCGGTGAGAGCCTTCAGAATCCCACGAGTTCCCTCCGTCTCGTGTTTATGCTCCAAGCTGATCCCTCTATCGATGCCTTCAACTCTGAACCCAGGTGGAATCGGAACTCAGAGAGGACACGCGCGTGTCTTTGGCCGTGTCGCGGCTGGGATGGAAGGACGCAGTCTCTTGTGCTCAGCAAACATAAGCTCTTGCTTGCGATGAGATGAGGAGCCTTCAGAGAACTGCAACGAGGAGCAGGAGGCTTTTGCTAAGTCCAGCTGATCTCGGTTGTTTTTGGCATTCTAGTTCCTGCTGACATTGCATACCAGATTCCCTGGCCGTTCTGTGCTCTGGTTTTCTAATTGTGGAGACATGGCGCAGCATGTTATCCTGGTACCTGACGAGTTCACCTGCCCACTGGTGAGGCTGTCCGTTTGGCAGCTTCCCTGTACGTCGGAGAAGGTGGCAAGCTGCAATCTCCAGCATCCATAGCTTTCACATGTCAGCTGCAGAGACTTGTCAGGCCGAACCGTGAAACTCACTCACATTATCGACTTTTTTCACCAAGAGGCCTCAGATTCTCAGCCGATCTTGTAGTGTTACATTCCGTTTGGTCAATCTTCTTCGGAGCCGCCTCAAAGATCTAACGTGCGATGTAGGTAGGCGACGCAGATCTGGCAGCGAGCTCAGCATGATATGTGTCTCTGGTCCAAGTCTTCACTACTTCCTGCCTGGCCAGCAGATGTGTTCCGGAACAAGAGCGGCATGCGCGACTTCTTGCAGCGTCCAGCACATGCTTTCGGTTTTTGCGAGCATCCCAAGATATCCCAAGGTTGGTGAGGAATTCATTACCGTTCTGGCCCTCAGCCGATTGCAGGATTTACTCAATCAGTCACATGCATCAACGTTTACGCGTGTGCAGCTTTCGTTTTATCATATTGTTTGTTGTTTTACTTTTTTTTTTTTGTGTGTGTCTCTGTTGAACAGGTGTTGGCCCCAGTCCCCACATGCTCAGGCTGTGGCACGAGCCAAGCCACGCCACCCTGGCATTTGCACTGCGGCTTTGGGTGTCTTGAGCTCAGCATATGACCTGTGACAGCTCTAGGGTGCGAAGGCGTGCAGAATGCCCGTCGAAAATGTAGGATTTCGTTTGTTCGTATGTCGCAGCAGCAGCAGCGGGTAGCAGCAAAGCCAAGAAGATGCAAGCACATCCAGAACACCCCGCATACAGCCCGAGGAGTGTCCCACCATGCCTGCTGATTTGTTTGAAGAAGCACTGTCCTTTGGAGGCTTCTCATTGATATGCATCCTAGGTAGCCTATGCTGCGCTTGCAGATGCTTTGCAATGCCACTGGTACCGAGCTCAGAGCATGCACGGCCCATGCCGCAGGTATTGCAAACTCTTGCCGTGACTCGAAGCCTGAACCCTGGAAGGCGACGACCGACGTCGACGATCATGCACCAACTTGCTCGGTGCCCAGCGCAAGCACGGGCAGACCTCAAGACGCAGTAATAAGGACCCCTAGGTATATACCCTTAATATAGCTATCATATACCCATTATATAGCCCATTATAGGGTAGAGATCAGACCGCCCCCCCCTTGCATCTCAGATTGATATCGCCGTCGAGAAGGCCCAGGGAGGCAGGCGACCTGAAGTCAGGAAATCCCGCTCCCTTGCCGGCAGAAGCAGGAGCCTTGCGGACCTTCGGTGAAGCTGCCGAATCTTTCAACGCCCGGAGCCCGGCCAAGGTTGGAGCTCAAGATAGGGGCCTTCATGATTACCTATACTATTTTGGGGGTTCCTCATTCTAATTCCCAAAACCCGATTCTAAATACTACTAATAATATCGGGGTTCCTTATTGTAGTTCCCGAAACCCTATTCTAATGATTAAGACCCCTCCTTAGGCTCAGAGTTTCCGTGCTTGATTTCAGTCGAGGCCTTGGCGAGCTCCCGATGGCCCTTGCTACCGCTGCTCTCCCGATTGCAGCCCAAGTCCGAGGCTCAGCTCGCCGGTGCCCACGGAATAGACTACCGGGCTTTTGTGTTAAAGGCAAATACTCTCCACATAACTTTCGTATTAAAGGCACATGCTCCCCACATAAACTGGCTTCCTGATGATGGTAGCTTTAGCTGCATTTTCCAGTCCTTTGACGTGCTGTCAGGTCGGCACCTACGTCAACGGGTGTCTTGGTGTCCTGGTCATCTCGAGAGGCTCCGCAGCGCGACAGCTGCCCAGAGTTTCTGAAGTAGGTTTCCGTGGAAGCAAAACTACAAGTTTCGCATTTCGGAGTTCCGGCAGTGGAGGCCAGGGCCTGAGTTGTCCCTCCATCATGCACGGGAGGCTGAGCTGGGTGGCCTGAACTGGGCGAAGAACTTCGCGCAGGAGGCGATTCTTGTAAAGACAGAACCGGAGAATGAAAGTAGAGAAGGTGACAGTAGGGAGCTCTGGCGAAGCGGTCTCTATGTGACCGCTGCCTACAGGTCTTCAGCTTCCACGACTTCGTGCTTGAGGAAGATGTGGACTGTGTGAGTCTTGGCCAGTCTCAGGTTCACCGTAGGACCTCAGATGTAGATGCTCCTACCAAATCCTCGGCAGCAATCGTGAAGCTTGTTTCCACCCACTGATCTCCTTTTGGCTCGACAGCCGTGATGGCAAGCTACAGTCTGGATGCCATGGGGGTAGAGCAGGGAAGTAAGTCCAGCACTGGTACCAGTTGCATGCTCACTTATTGCAAAGTACTGTTATCATAGCAATTGCTGTTTCGTCTACTGCCGACCCCCGAGCCTTACCCCTCAGCGACCTGTCACCCTCCACCCCCGTCACCCTCGATATCGTCACAGCGCCACTGCAACAAAGCACCACAGCAAGCCACCACCGCCACACCTCATTATGGGTCTCACTAATTGGGTGCAGTGCTCGTGCTGCGGACCTGCGGACCTTGCGGCATTGATGCGTGGTGACGAAGTCTCCCACCGCGGACTTCTTCCTTCTGCATGCTGGTGCCTCAGCTTTCTGGGTCTGTCGCAGGCAGAAATTTGGACCAAGGGAGCTTGGGAGCTTTTCGCACCGAGGCTGTCCTTGCGCCTGTCCCCTGCCAGCGTGAGCCCGTCGAGTCTTCAAGAGAACGGCCCGGTTTTAGTCCCGGTCTGCCCGGCGAGCGCTTTTGGGCCCAGGGCTCATGACAGGCTTTGCCCGCAGCTCCGCTAAGTCTCTCGGAGCGGTCTCAGCGTGGTGCGGGTGGCCAGGAGGCAGCTCTGTTCTGCACGAGAGATCCTAGCACCCCTGGAAGTCGGGCAGAGACGTCAGACAAACTCAGACAGTTGCCGCAATGTGGATCCTGACTGCAGGCACACGGCAATCAGGGCAGCAGCAGTGCAGCAAGCAGCAGAACACCGCAATGCTCCAGTAGCGGTGGGAGTGGCCTCGGCCTCAGAGTCTTGGAGGCATGAATCGGCCATTTGAGCGGCATCTGTCAGGTCGGTCCGAGTCAGCACGTGTGCAGCTGCTTGGCCATAATGCAGTGACAAGAGCTTTGCATGAACCGTCTTGATAGCCTGCATCAACTGCGGCCTCAACCAGCAACAATCAGAGACGAGACCTGTGCATACCATTCTTAGTCGTGCAAGTTGCCGCTCAATTGGTGACATGACATCGGAACAGATGCAGGAATAGTTGCAAGAATGTACAAACAGCACCATGCCAGACTGTGCACCGGCCGTCTCAATACTAAGTCATCCCCGCAGAAATCAGCTTCTTGCAGACAATGAGATGATCTAGCATATTCCAAGTTGCAGTTTCGGGGGCTCGCATCCATCGTTTTCATCACGGTTCTGCAGACAAACCAGACTTAGGCCTGTAAAGTAGCTTCATAAATTGCTTAACGTCTCCAGTTGCTCCCAGGAACCTTATGGAGACGTATGGGAAACCTACCAGCAACTTGGCTCAGTGCAGGAATTCGTGCAGACAATTCCTTGCAAGCCGAGAAAGTCGGAGATGTGCTTGGGACAAGCCCAGCAAGGCAGCATTCCGCTCGGCTATGAAGTGAGGAAGGTACAGTAGTCTGTTGTGGATGGAGTGGCGCTGTTTAATCACACTCTCAAGTGAGAGGGGCAGCTCTTAAGGAAGCGTTCTTAGTCAAGACTCACACATTGTGCCTGCCCGCTAAGTCTCAGTTAGCCAGCCCGCAGTCATCCAGGTGAGTAGATATTCCTGGCGTGGATCGAGCAGCGAATCAGACTCAGCCAAGGCGTTCCTCCTTCGATGACGCCGAGGCAACCACAGAGCAGCGCCAAGCTAGCCTTCCCAGTCGTGTGTAAAGGGAGACCGAGAGATACCAATCACACCATCGCACGGAACATGGCGCCGAACCAGTATAAACTAGCTGGTCTGGTCACCCATGGACGGAGACTCAAGCCGGCTTGCGAGAAAGAAACGCTGGAGAGCC